TAATTAGTCGATTACTGAAAAGGCAAATCCTGTGTTACACGCTTTGATTCCAATTTAACATGTAATTCAGAGATTTACACTTCATTTATTCAGCTGACTCTAATAATCATAAATTATTATCACTCAAAAACAATCTAAAATGATGGAGCCATCGATAAAGGCTTAGTCTAAGTTAGATAATTCCCGCTATCGTAAACCAGTGATCCCACATAAGATTGAACACATGATCTTCTAATCCCGCACCAACAATCCTACTTCCAAAATTTTTATTCAGAATTTAAGAAATTTACGCATCCAACCTTGGTTAATTGAAAACAGTACAAACCAAATATGGTCAATAATAAATGTCTGACCTCTGAACTGGATTCACTAAATATCAGTCAGTGTCCCATGTGAAATTCGAAAAAATTCATTTCAAATCTATTTGTCGATTATTTAATGACTATTATCGAGCCTAACATTTTGTGACGAACTTCTTGTCTCACAACAGAAATTATCCTTTAATTAAATATCCACGTTAGTTGATAATATCAAGTAATACTTTGATTTTATTTATATACTACTAAAAGTCTTATGATTATTGGCCACATATTTAAACCAGTTTGATAAAAAAAACGATTCAATGTATTATACAGTAACAATGAACAAAAGATGAAATTATTCTTCTCTGGTAAGATATACACAGCATTAGCAAAGAATAAACATAAGATTTCTTCCAAATGCTTCGACTTGAAATCTTTTAAGTATTAATAAATGAATTTTAATGTTTCACGCCTGGAGAGCTTCACACTTATAACTATCTCCCTAATATAATATAAGTGACATACCAACCACTTCTAACAACAAAGAAATGAGAAACTTAGCATATGTAGTAGTAAATGCATTTCTTTATTAAGAACCAAATAACACTGAGTAATTTACCAGGAAAATTGTAATCAATTCAAAGGACTGGAAGCGTATTCTTATGAAAACTCATCCAGAATAACACTCAGTAAATCATAGCATCAAATAGTTAGCATTAAAAATATGGAATTCTAAAATACATATTGGCGCTGAAAAACATATCTGTGACCAAAATCTACATGGCTATCGCAAACATCTTTACTAGTCTTAGTGTCCAAGTAAATAACTACCTGTAATCCAGAAGGTGAAAAATTGCTTAATACATCAAACTTTATAACGACTGTTTTTATGGTTACATTTAAATGCTCTAGCATATAGCTTTAAAACACTCAAGACATAATTTGTGGTATAGAGTGAACAACATAAATCAGGTATCAAGTGTCTTATGTTGTCTTGAGTACTTTTGTTAAAACCATCAACTAACATAGCAACGTTTATGGATATCAAGGTATCGTTTTTTTATTTTGCTTCAATAGCCTAAATAGAAAAAAGCAATAAGGGAAAAATATTTTTTATCGCGTCTTTAAAAATAAAAGGACTTAAATTACGTATATATTGTCTATTCAGAACAAAACGTATCAGTGTTTGTCAGCCATTGGCGACCTACGATCTGATATAGATCTGATAAAGTTTGAGTTTACACATTTAACTACAGCATGGCCTGAAGAAATTGGCCAGATTACTTGCCGATGGTTTTAAATGACAATGCTGGCAATGGTTTAGAAGTCTAGGAATATTTTAAGCAAAGAAACGTACCTTTCAAACGGAAATTATAGGATAATATAAGGCTCAACATATGAATAAAAACCAAGGGTGAATAAGCATACGTCACTAAAAAGTGATTCTAGGATATGCCGACTAACTTATCTAAATCTAGTTCACAATTATCCCGTGGATTTCAGGCAGTCTTTTCATCACTTGGTATTACTGAGATCAGTGACAAATGAATGTCTGGATAAGCTCCATATTTTGAGTCCGGCATATTCGTTGAGATCACCAGGAATTTAATAATGATTTAACGTTGAAATCGGCAGTTTTGTCGCGCCATACCCGTGTAGCAATGTGAATCAAATTAAATCAAACCAGTGTAATTTTTTTAGAGCCCTTCATGTAGCGCATTTGGTTAAGCTTGAAAATTTAGACTTAAATTAAACTGCCAAATACCTTTCGGATTTCAAAACAAACTGACCCGAAATCTAGACCGTGTTGTTCGAAAAATGTTGTAAAGTAATCGTAATGTAAACACCATTACCACGAAATGGACAAAAATTTACGGCTGATAAAAATGTAATGCAGTGCTAAACTTTGTTTTTCGTTTGAAGATTTATTATAAGTCGTCAGGATACAATTGCTATAACTTACTTCCGAAACTTCTTCGTGTTTAAGGAAGTGTTAAAAATTCAGGCATAACATTACTTGAAATACATTTCAAATTAGAAGCTTTGCGTTTTGTACACTTCACGGTGTTGTGAGGTAAGATGCTCAAAATGTTCTGTTTTGCTTTTCAGACTTTAATAAACACGTTGCTACTTAACTAAAGAATTCTATTCAAATTACATAATTTTGTTTTATAATATGTGTTTGGTTAAGTGTGTTGCTTAGGTTAAACAATCATAAAAGTTGATATATTTAATATATTTCGTAGATTCAGGCTTAAGCCAATATTATTCAACATTAATTACTGTGGTAATACAAAATATCTTTATGACAAATAATAGCCGCAATGACATCCCGTGATATGTAAATTTGTATATATGTTTTTATTCGTTTATTATTATCATCATGAAACGTTTCATATTAAGAGTTTACCTTGATGGAGACTGTTTGTCTATCATTATTTTAAACAATTAAAAAGCTTTTTCTACTTTTGTCAAATAATTACTTAATCATAAATATAAAATATGTTGAATCACAAATTCCAGACCCATGATAATGAATAATACAGTGTTATTTGTCCTTCATTTACATATTACAAACGTAAACATTTAAATTAAAGTACTCTGTTAGGATTATGAAGAAACATTGGGAAACATATCCTTTGTGATATATTTATCAATAGAATTTTTCGAAAGTCTCTATACTTCATAATCGAAACCTTAGTCCTGTTTAGTAGATTGACGAATTTTAGGAGGTGGATGATAAACTACGTTTAATTAAATTTTGATTGTCTTAGAGTCAAAAGAATACACTAAATGGTCTTGAACTGTTGTTATTGATGATCACTCAAAATCATTGAGTCAAGCCAGTACAAACTTCAAACACAAAATTATATATTATTATATATTATATTATTAACGCCTTTATTCAATATTATATTTTTGTACAATATAGAATTCTCAGCACAGGGTATTTCAACAAGTTACTTACGCAAAAACCAGTGACAAAGATAAAAAAGGAAAAAAAGGTATAAAAAAAGAAATCTGAAAAACTGTACAGCTTTTCAAATTAGAGACATGTTAAGAATGCAGGTTATTGATTAGATTAACTCTAACAACCTGTTCGTCACAGAGTATATTTGCTAGGTAGGGTGTTATAGAACTTTTATTTTTTTGCGTGCATGGATTTTGGTGCAATTACGTCTCGTTCTACCAGATGATATACAAGGAGAAAGATAAGAGTGCAGGGGATGGTTAGTATTTGATAGAATAACACCTGCTTTGAGTTTGTATGACTTTGGATGTCTATCCACAACCATATTAATTATGACCTCAAAATATTCACCACACATCTTGCTAACTGCCTTCAGCACCCTCCGCAATACAGCAAGGTCTTTTCTCAAAAGCCCGTGAAAGAATAATGGAGAACAGTAGAGAATAATAGGTCATATGCAAGAATTGACAAATTGTAAGAGTAAATGACGAGTAATCCCAAGAGTATGCAATCTCTTTATGTAGTAAGTCAGACGGTAAATCTTCTTAGATAACAATAAAACATGGGAAGACCAAGAGAGATCAGAGGGGAAGGTAACACCAAAATAATGTACATAATATTGTGATCACATTTTCCTGAGTAATAAAAAACTCAGATAATCGATCAGAGTAAACTAGTTGACACGATTCTTGTTCAACTAGCAACACATAAATAATTTAAGTTCTTTTAATGTTACGTTAGTAATATTACTCCTAGATCTATCCCTAGACACTAGAATAAAATAACTTTGATGCTATTCAAAACACAAGATATGTACTAAAGATGTGCTTTAGGAAAAACACAGTGTTAGGAAAACGATAAAGGTCATAGAAATCACGTGATAGCTATCTAAGCAGCTTTAACTTTGGTTGCAGCACTTGAATTAGATATTTACAGATACAAATAATACTTCTCTACAGTTAGCCAAACAGTATTAAGTTACTTATAAGAACTTTATAGAGGTTTAAATGGCTAAATGGTAAATAATTTATGGCTGCCGTAATAAAACACGACACATTTTCGCAATTATATCTGAGTTCACGAACAAAGTTTTGCACCACCGTTTCTTTTCTTTACGTCAATAAGAAAAATTAGTCTAGCATATATTGACATAAATGTTTTGAACTTACAGGTATAATGATAGATGACGTGCGGACCTATACACTGAGAATGCCCTAAGTACTTGTAGACCTTCACCAAAATTAATGTGAAGGTCTAATCTAAGCGCTAAACTTAGAGGAAACACAATTAAGCTAAACTCTGAAGATCTCAGTTGAACTCAATATAATAATGAGTACCAATTCTCCAGAAGTTTTGATTCCCGTTTTAATTCTTTCACACCAAGGTTCTTACCTAACGGCACCAGTGGTTTCCTACTTTTGGTTACGGAGGTTGGTTTGGGAAAGGTTTATACCATTGAAAAATTGAAACCGTGGGCAATTAAACGAGGAAAAAGGTTTATCTTTTCTATTTGGTAGTTAACAACTGAAATCAATAGAGATTTGTCTATAAGACTTTTTAAAAATACCTAATATTTAAGTAAATAAAGAATACAAGAATTTATATAGATTATTTGCATCAGTATCTGCGTCGTTGTAAATCAAGCTATTTAAGTTTATTTACTAATAATAAATCGAATCTGATAGACATGTGTGTTATAATATCATTTTACAACAAAACAAACTTACATAGGAATCCGCGCTTATGCCAGAAGAATTATCAAATCCAGTTATTGTTATTGGAGTGCTGAGTTCGTCACGATTGCCTTGTGAATCGGCCATGGAATGAGGGTATGAAAGAAATTCAACATTTGATGCTGCACAATCGGCCTGAGGTAGTGCTCCGTATTCTGAAGGATAGTCTTTGAACGTTATACTATAATGTGGTTGTAACGGACTAAAATAATTTGACTGATGGTTTCCTCCGAATGAACCTAAATTTTCAATATCAATGCAAAGCACTCCACTGGCTTTATTCATCTCAAAGGGTTTGTTACCAATAGTGCACTTGGAAGAAGGTAATAAACTGGTCACCTCCTCCCACCGACCCTTCTTTGGGGAAGCGTCCAGTTCTATCATTCACAGTTCAAGTAAAAAACTCCTGAGTGAACTCAAGTCATTAAAAGACATCTTTCAGGCATAATCCAAGGTAAGGCACTTTGATGGGTTCGAAAGTAAGTCAAATAAATGTATCTTACATTATGAAAATCTGTTCGTAATACTAACGAATATCAATTACTGAATTTTCAATTAAAGATGGGGAACTATGACTTTTGCAAAGTGAAGAATATAATTAATGGTATCGCGTGTATTAGAAGGTCTAAATACAAAATAATATTTCAGTCCACAACAGATATTGAAATCTAATTGCAGTTTTTAAAAACTTGTCACATTTCAAGGCCAAGTGGAAAATATCGACAAGACAAACAAAACAAAATACTTGAATACTTTCAGAACGAACTATACTTTGAATAAAATGAGCAGAAGGAATGCCATTCGAGATCTGTGTTTACGAAGTAGAACCTAGTCTTCTAGTTTGAAGCTGTTTAGATTTCTTGAACAAAAATCTGAAAGAACGAAATGCAGACTAATAAGCTCTTGTTCGATTATGTTTGTAACTTCTTTTTCTTGTCACTAGGTAGGGATTACGTCTCAAAGTTACATCATGAATAAATCGATATATGTATTTAACATGGAATTTTCAGTGACGGTAAACTCAAGGCCATTAGCACTTTGAACACGGTAAAAGCAACAGGAATGGATGAACTATAACATAAAATCTTGAGACAAGTTTCATAATATTTTGCCTCCACGCTGGCTACAACATTTAATAGGTCACTTGATTAATTTGAGTTACCTACGGACTTGAAGGATGCAACTGGCACACCTATACATGAAACAGGACCAAGACAACTATCATCAAACAACAGACCTGTCAGCCTCACCAGTGTTGTAGTTAAAACTTGGAAAGAATGACCAAAGGACTACAGTGACATTCCTGGAAACCAACAACTTATTAAACAGAAAACAACATAGTACCAGGAAAGGATGGTTTCGCACAACAAACTCTCATATATCAAGTGGGCAATGGATGTAGTTTCTAGATAATGCAAAACTAGGGGATGTCGTCTACAAATTTCAAGGAAACATTTGATGAGGTGCCGATAGATGGATTACTCTTGAGGTTGGAAAATCGAAGAATTACCAGACCTTAATAGATTGTGAACAGAAAGTTAGAATAAATTCCAAATGCTCCTCCTGGAAACCGGTACTTAGTGGAGTGCCACATGGCTCCGTCCTAAGTTCTTTTACTTTTTGTACTGTACGTAAACTAACTACCAAATATAGTTGAGTCCTCGATTCTGCTATGCGCTGATGATATAATAATCTGTCAAGAAATAAGAGGAGATGCAGATGCATGTGCGCTTTAGGTGGAATAAGATGCTCTGATTGATGTCTATCAACGCGGCCAAGTGTGTCTACATGCACATTGAGCATACAAAGGTAAGTAGGTACATCAGAGAGGAGTTGCCCGCGCTCATAGTCCAGTCTCACACGCATCTTGAGGTGACAATGAGTCTTAAGATCTTAAGACCACGGCCCATTGCCATAATGTATCACCTAAGCGGTTTAGAACACTATAGGTTGTAAACGGACATTTCTTAAGCGAAACATCACTATGTTGGCTACGAAATACACAACCTTCAAAACTGGGTTCGGGCTGAAACCCTCTGTCTAAAAGGTGACTCAGATATCTTGGAAAATGTACCCATGCAATTTCAGAACTCCGGAGTTTACCATACATAGAGTTGCTTCAGGAGCTAGATCTTTTTGTTCAATCATACCACAGGTCAAGAGGTGATCTTATCTTGGTTTATGGAATGCCAAAAAATAATTTTGGACCAAATGTATTTCCTTTTTTCATTTCTATCATACCCGCGCAACTCAGAGGACACACCAAGAACGAACAAAATACTCGTGGCATACATGTTTTTACACTAACTCGTCAATTCTTGAAGCCTTTGCCTTAAGAAGTGATGACTACGCCTTCAATCGACTCAATCAAGAGAAGATTAGGCACTCGGAGAAGCTTATAAAAAAAAACTAAAACAGGTAGTAAGTAGTCTGTTTTAAATACACACACAAAATCTTGCAAACTAAGACTTTTACGACAATAAGATACAGGATGAATATCTATGATATCATTCCCTTTTTAATGACTTCATTCCTCGCCAATAACGACCAGTCATTTAATTATACGCACCATAATGATATCAGGCGTCGTGGGTCATAACAACCTTCTCAGATGAAAGGATGAGTAGCCAACCGTCTCAGACTAGAAAGACTGAGCGTAGTCTCCACAATTTTCCCATGAGAAAGTAACAGAAGTGGTTTTGAACTTAATAGCCTTCCAAGTATCGGTCATTTGCACTAACCAAGGAAGATTTATTGTGTGTTATTGGCTGAAGAGATCGGAACAAATATCACCACTAAACTCACAGCATGGCACGCAACAAAATGCCCACCACCTACGAGATTGTTAGCTAGTAGACAAAATGTTCCTCTACCGCTTCATAACGATGTCCTAGCTATTTTTGAGGTATAATTACTGGCCGTACCTGTTTTGCAGTGTTTCCCAACCACACCACATGCAATGTATCTCTATAGACAAGAAAGATATGACATGGTATCGTGAAAAACACTGTTTTGATACCATTTTGGATAACTTATTACATAAGTAGTATTGTTTGTCATCTAATTACAACTAGTTAGAAATACTGGTACCCTTTTGATGATGGTTGTAGTAGTTTTCCAAATTTCCGCTAGCTATAGTACAAATTCAGGTCAAAACAAACTGTGTAGCAGCAGTCTCTGCGTCGGTAAGCCTCAACACACACAAGAGGAAAACCAAGATCCTCAAATACAACACAGAGAACACCAACCCAATCACTCTTGATGGTGACACTCTGGAAGAGGTGGAAACTTCCACGTATCTGCCTAAACAGCATCATCGATGAACATGGAGGATTTGATACTGACGAAAAGGTAAGGTTTAACAAAGTAATGACACTACTCATGCAATCGAACAACATATGGAACTCAAAACAACTGTCAACCAACATCAAAGTCACAATCTTCAACATGACCATCGAGACAGTTCTACTATAGCTAGATGAAACTTGGAGAACTATTACAACCATCATCAAAATATTACATGTATTTCTAAACAATTGTCTACACAAGATACTCAATATCTGTTGGTCGAATACCATCAACAACAGTTTACTGTGGGAGAGAACAAACTAGCTTCGAGCTGATTAGGAAATTAGGAAAAGACGTTGGGAGTGGATAGGACATATATTAAGGAAATCATCAAACTGTATCACGAAGCAAGCGCTAACTTGGAATCGTGAAGGGGAACGGAAAAGAGGAAGGCCAGAGAACACAATGCGTCGGTAATCGGGAGTAGACATGAAGAGGATGAGTAGCAACTGGAAACATCTGGAAACGATAGCTGAGGACACAGTTGGATGATGAGCGGCCTATGTTCCTGCATAATGGGTAGCATTCTTAAGTCTGCAAGTGGTGAGATCTAGTAAGAATGAGTTGGAGTCCAGGTCGTACCTAGTTACCTTTTTCGCATGTTGCATCGGGGCAAATATGATAACCACATCAGCTAGTTCCCTTTCGAAGGGACTTGTAGAATTATGGTCTACTATGATATTAGTACTGCCTAATCTATAAGATCTTACGTGGAAGTCACACCATCGACTACACCAACTCACTTTATCGTATCAATTACCAATACATGATGTAGAACAAGGTTAGGCTAGAGAAAGAACAATATATTTAATATGAATAGAAGATATAAGGTAACATTGAGATGGACCACGCCTGCATGGACGAGCCATGCCATCCGATCAAACCCAGTTCATTCAATTCCTTCTCCGAGCCTTCTCCATTGTTAGGTATTTCCCCGAGTTAAATATTGAATATCTATTTTCTGAGTAGTCTCGTGTTCACAGCTTTGTGGATTGTGTGGCTTTTGTCCAATGCTACTACAGACTTTCTGGCAACCCAGATCTCAGCTTTTTCTAGTCCACCACAGGAGCATTTCTAATACTTTTTTCATTTTACCATAAATATAGTTAGGTTCCTAATTTGAGGCATCTGTGATCCACTGCTACTAGATAAGAAACCCATTAAGTAAATGCTTCTTCTATTCAGATTGAAGATTCTGTCCATAACCATTAAAACAGTTTGAATTAATCTGCTTGAATTCTCTACCGGCTGAGCTAGTCCAAGCGACTTCACAGGAGTCCTTCAAAAGAAAACTTGACATATTCTTAAGGACTATGGATATTATCTTACTATGATTTACCAATTTCTTTTTCCTCTTTTATCGGTAATATACCTAGGTTCATGCCTACAGGTAGTGGTGAACCACAGCTACTAAAAACGGAACGCCGTTAAGCGAAAGCTTCTTCTATTCCGTCCACAACCATTTGAACCATTTGGCTTCGGCGTACTTCCAACGGGAAGTTTAGTCCTAACGTGATTTGCATCCATCAAACTTGTGCTGTGTTTTTACGCAACAAAAGTACCATTTCCGACTAAAAGAATCTATCCTGAGCTATAGATTACTTTTTTTAGTTTCACCCAATTTAATAGTTAACTGTGGTTTTGCCTCAGCTTACTATTCGGTTTTTTTAGTTTTTCACGTAAAGACTAGTTCAGTTTATCTCATCCGTTTTATCCATTTTTGTCCGTTTTCAGTGTGCTTTTTAGTGTAGTTTTCACGGTCTTAGGCTTTTGCTAGCATCTATAACACAGTTTAGGTTAATACAGTCATGAAAAATTCATGCAAACGAACTGGATGCCGTTTTGCTGTTACATCTGGCATGCACTGAGACAACTGCAAAGGTTGGTTCCACGAAGCGTGCACAGATCACACGGCAACTGCTTACAACAGACTCAGCTAGTCGGATCATAAGTGGGAATGTGTTACGTGCAGCACGGATGCTGTAGTCTTGCCAAGTAATATCATTGTCCTACTGACAGGTCTGCAGAGCCAGTTGTCGGAAACTCGGGAAAAAATGGTCAAAAAGTGGATAGACAAACAAGAGAGCGCATTGAAAACGAGAAGAGGGATGTCGACAGGTCTCCCGACGACGGAGCATGCAACAGCATTGATGATGACACGCTGAAACTCAGCACCATGATTACGACGACGGTACTCGACTCCCTCAGCAAACTCGGGTCTCACAGCTCAAGGTCCTTGAACGCGACAGTGGTTCCTGAAAACTCTATAGGTGATTGAACCCACGTCAAAAGAGCTAAAAAGGGCCAGGCGTCACAGTCTAAGTTGAACATCCCAGCTGTTAGACGGAAGTCAACTGGTGATCTGGTCTCACAGTCTACCCCCAAGAATGTCCGTCCAGTCATCAAAGAGCCAAGGATTCATAAACGTGCTTCGACCCCCAAACAACAAGGTGCTAAACCTAAACGCACCGGAAAACCTGGGACGACAATAACGGTTCGTGATGACACTATCATAGTTATGAACTTCAAAGACAACCCTGACCTTCCCCTCAGTTTGCAGGACAAAAATGATAGGATGCTCTGGGGAGAATTTAACAAGAAACTTGAACTTCCAAGAATAGAGCCTGTGACAGTCACACGGTTTACTCGAGAAATGAATCTAAGCATCAAAATCACCCGAGGCTACTTCGTGTAAAACTTAAGAATGCTGCCGACGTAGACGATGTCTTACTAGCGAGTCATTTACTGAAATCAGATGGGAATGTAATAATACTGTCTGACATACCGTATTCTGAGCGCAATCTCATCCGAAACATCCCCAAAGAATCTCGCGAGAAGTTTTTCCGCGGGAGGAATATAATCGTGCAAGGTATACCGGAAAATACGGACCCTACTCAATCAAAGACTGACATCAGGGAATGGAAATTCATCAGACAGTCCTTGAGGCTCAAAAACATACTGACTCAGCATGTGACGAGACTAGCCAAGAAGGATGGTGTTTCTAGACCCCGTCTAATGAAGATAACCGTCACATCTTCCCATATGGTGGCTGCAGTTCTGGAAGCATTTCGTGCCAACAGACGTCGACTGCCACCTGGAATCCACATGCACCCGAATAGGCCATACGAAGCTAGGACCAAACACAAAGGCAAGTTGGAACTGACCATTCCACTTGTGGACTGTCTAGACGATAAAAAATGTGTAAAGGACAGGGCCTACCACCTCAGCAAACCTCATATAGGTGGGCTACCTGTCCATTCACGTAAGGCTCATACAGACAAACAGGAAGAAGCTCACGCGTTCCAAATTGAAGGCATGAACTGCTTATATATGAGCGCCGCGAGTCTACCAAACAAACTGGATGAATTACGTGAACTTAGCAACGCTAACAAGGCCCATCTGATAGGAATATCTGAAACCTGGATATCTTCTCAGTTCTCGGACCAAGAGTTAGCATTACCTGGGATGTCATTGTTCAGCAACGACAGAAAACCAGGAATTGGCGGCGGAGTAGCCGTTTACGTACGTTCATGCTTGGAGGTGCACCAAGTTCATAACCTCGAGTTTAACAATCGTGAGGAATCTATATGGTGCTCTGTAAGACTGTCTAGTACTTCGAGGTGTCTAATCGGGGTCATTTACAGGAAGCCAAATGCCGACATCGAATACGACAGTCGTATGCTGGAAGGACTATCCCGCTCTACTCGTCGCGGTTTAACACACATCCTGATTCTAGGGGACCTTAATCTCCCTAGAGTCAACTTCGCGGAACACACGTATACTGGAGACGACAACTCAATCGAAGCTCGGTTCTTCAACCTCATCGATGATTTGGGATTATACAAAAATGTGAGGCCGGCAACTCGTTGGAGAAACAGTCAGACACCATCGCACTTAGACTGTGTATTCACTAGCGAAGAATTCCTAGTCGACAACCTCTCAATCATGGCTCCTCTGGGAAAGAGCGATCATGCCGTCATAGCCTTCAGTTTTGTCATCAAAACTAAGCTAAGGTATCCCAACAATAATTTGCGTTGGAATTTTAAACGGCTGAATGTGCCAGCTCTACATGACTATCTACAACAGGTAGTTTGGGATGTTCACCCTCAACTCGATGTGGACGGTCACTGGGACTTCTTATGTGCTACAAACCATTCAGTTCCTCAAACGGTTCCCAAAAGCTGCAAACCACCTACAATGATCAAGAACCGTACTTTTCGCCTGCCAAGCCGCAAAAGGCACTGTTGGGCGGAATACAAACGAACTGACAACGACGGAGCGTACAGGCAATAAAACATATCAGAAACATATGCACGAAGGCTATAAGAGAAGACAGGCTTCAGTACCAAACAAAGCTTATGGACAAATTCGCCTCTAACCCTAGAAGCCTATTCCGTTATGCAGCCTCTCTTCGTCAAGCCAAAACTGGAGTTTCCCAACTGGTAGGTCTTAACGGCCCGACCAACAACGATAGCGACACCGCTAACCTTCTGACTGAACAATACTCTCGGACATTTCAACGGACCCACATCAACTATATTGATGAAAGCTTCATCTGCACCTGCGCAGGACTTCGCAAAGTAAACCTGAGCGCTGACTTGGTGTTCCGGGAATTGCAGCACTTAAGATTAGACACTTCTCCTGGCCCGGACACGGTCCATTCCGCCGTACTGAGGGAAGCAACCTCAATCGTGGCAACGCCGCTTAGCGTGATGTTCTCACACTCGCTAAGTCGAGGAAAACTACTGGAAAGTAGGAGGTTGGCTCACATCACACCAATTTTCAAAGGAGGTCGACGCAGTGAACCTTCAAGTTACCGACCGGTGGCTTTTCTCTCCATACCCTCAAAAATCATGGAGTCCTTGATATGCGATGGTATAAATGACTATTTACTGTTCTTAAATTTCTTCTCACCCCAACAGCATGGTTTCAGGAATGATTACTCTAGTATTACCAACCTGCTGACTGCGGTGGACAGATGGACAAGCATCTTTGATCACAAAGGGGAAGGTTGATATCATCTACCTAGATTTCTCAAAAGCTTTTGATAAGGTTAACCATACATGTCTTATCGATAAGCTCAAACGACTAGGTATCAGACCACCTATAATCGATTGGCCCACTTCATACCTGAAAAATCGACACTTTGAGGTTAGCATTAATTTCACTTTATCTCAGGCTATGGAATGTCCTAGTGGGGTCCCCCAAGGGCTCAGTACTAGGGCCTCTTCTCTTCTTGATCTACATAAATGATCTTCCTCAACAGGTAACGTCAGACTTATTACTTTTTGCCAACGGCGTGAAACTTTGGAGAGAGATACTCAACCAAGACGATATACAGGCACTTCAAGAGGATCTGACTCAACTTCAAAGTTGGGCAGACGATAACGGACTTACCTTTAACACTTGAAAGTGTAATGTAGTCCATCTGCGACATGTCGCAGACTACAGTTACAACTTAGGAAACTCCTCTCTAGTAGTATCCGAAGTCGAAAAAGATTTAGGAGTCCTGGTGCCCTACGGTTTAAATTCTTACGCTAACTGTGACAAAAATGCCTTCCGAGCAAACCTTGCACTGGTAACATTGAAGCTCATTTTTGGCCATATAATCTTCAATAGTTTTATCCGTCCTCATTTAGAGTACGGAAACATAGTATTTCCTCCCTCATTCAAAAAGGATAACGAGACCCTGGAGCGTATCCAACGGCGAGCCACGAAATCAGTTCGAGGACTCAAATTTAAACCTTATGAAGAGCGCCTCCATTCACTTAACCTTTACCCATTAGAGTAAAGACGTCTTAGAGGTGACCTTCTGACGGCTTATAGTATCCTTAACATTTCTGGTCATCCTCTCAAACACCCACTTAAGCTTAGTTCCAACAGTAACCTAAGGGGTAACACCCAGAAACTGGAGACACAACATAGCAAAACGGAATGTAGACATAACTTCTATTCCTTAAGAGTTGTCAAATGCTGTAACTCGCTGCCGGCCGAGCTAGTCCAGGCGACTTCCCAGGAGTCCTTCAAGAGGCAACTTGGCCCATTCTTAAGGACCAAGGACAACATCATACTATGATTTACCAATTTTTTTCCTCTTTTATTGTTAACATACCTAGGTTCCTGCCTGGAGGTTTTGGTGATCCCCTGCTACTAGACACGGAAGCCTGTTAAGCGAAAGCTTCTTCTATTCCGTCCACAACCATTTGAACCATTTGAATTATGTTCGTTTTTCTTTACGAACTTCAGCGCTACCGTCGTGAGTTGTTTACTAGGTAACTATCTGATGTAAATTGAATATACTGGTAGTTGCTGTGTATAATCCAAATTTTATCATCTAACTCGCAGTTTTTAAACTCTTAAGCTTATAAGCTTTCCAAGACTATGGTCTTGGAAAATCATCTGGCGAGTAATCTGTCTTATAAATCATTATAATGTATACATCCTATTCTATCTAATATTCACAGGTATACTTTAAAAGAATTGGGGCATGTTAATGGGTCTTCTACTTTTAAGAGTAGTGATTACTACTGTAGTTTGTTGAGTGAGAGAAAAGACTCAATAAATCCCAAAAGTAAACATATCTGATATATCAAGTCAGTCTTCAACGCCAAACTTATTAACTATAGTGAATTAATCCCCAATTTATAAACTGAGGATTGTATACAGTCATGTCGCCTTTGTTAAGTTATGCATAGATATATTCCCTGTCTACATTCCTTTAGGTTCTGATAACATTGTTAGTCAGCTACAACGTAGGACCAGGCACATATATGCATCAGTCCAAGTTGCCACACCTCATTAGCACAACAAAATGATCACTAAATTCACAAAGTAGTTACTTCGACGGTGGTGACATATAAAAGAAAGATTGTGTGTAATGATGTAGTACAGGAGGAAAGAAAGATATAAAGCAGTTTTGATCTCACAGTTCGAGGGAAGACTAAGAGCGTATACACTGACGCCGTTGTGATCGATTCTGAGCCATGTCACTAAGAGTCTCCAACCATTGGTTACGGAAGTCACGCAAATCCCAACCAATTAGTCTGCATCTACCAACATGGCTCAGACTAGAAGTTAGTGACTTCAAGCACTAATGTCACGTTTTTGTTTGGCCGCCCCTAACTTTCTTCCAACCATCCCTAACATCAGTTAGCATTATACATCGTGGTAATCGGTGTCCAGGCATACGTAACACGTGGCCCAACCATCTGAGTCGATGAAGATTCACAACGTCATCAACTGATTTACCATCATTCCCTAATACCCTTTATCTAACCTCACTATTACTTACCCAGTGATCCCAGCAAATGCGAGCAATATTTTTAGGACATCTGTGACCAAATACTAGTTTACGAGTATCCTCTACTCTTAATGGCCACGTTTCGCAGCCAAGATAACACATTAGAGTAGAATAATTTCAGGCCTTTATGTAGACTTTCGTTTCAGTCCACTGGACATTTCCTGTTAGCTACTGTCTAGCTAAATTGGCTCTGTTAGGGCCAAAAATTTAGAGTATGTCAGGATACACGCACTGCTTATTACTGTAAGTTCGTAGATGTTGAAGCATTACAAATTAGTAAACAGGTATTGCTTCAATCTAAAACTCCCAACCGTTGTTGCTACCTTGACGTGGTGGTCGGGGTTGCCTATCGTGATGAAGTAACCGAGCTATACTGACTGGAACAACCGTTCCTCAAGGTCCTACCATGTTAGACAGGTCGGTTGAAGAGCGGTAAGACTAAAAGCAACAAACCCAAGGTCCGAAGGTGAAGTCGTACTGCTGACTGTACAGAGGTGTGACAGCAGTAAGGTGTTTCCTTCAGACGACCAGCATGACAGAGATGCTGCCTTCCCACAAGGAGGGGTGGGATTAGAAAAGGTCGACCCTAAAAATGCACACCTCACGGATATCCGTCTCCGACGGAAAAGTCTCAACAAGTACGGAGCTAACACGAAAATTACCCATAAAAAGGTCGCGCGTGACCGACCTCAAGTAGTTGTCCATTGGGCACTGCGGTCACGCTCTCAGATCACTAAGACCACCTCTAATCCAATTTCCTTCTCAAGTACCTCCAGAACAACCCTTCCACGGTGTGGGCAACCGGGAAGCGATAACCGCCCTCATACCTCTAACAGCACTCAAGACCAATGACTCAATCTAAAACTACTTTATAATGGTTAGTAACATTTCTACTCTGGCGAATTTGTTACTTACTACTTGATAATCGAGTATTTTACTTTATTACTGCTAAGCCACTACCTAACTTGTAATTTAAACGGCTAAGTTTTTGATATTTTCTTGAATTCACTACGATACAATTGTTCTGAAAATCCTATAAACATTCTAGACCACAATCTTCATATCTCTCTCGCTTTCGTTCTTTAGATATGAACTCTTAGCTCCTTAATTAATCTAAAAATACTGATCAGTTCTCAAACACTCCCTCAAGATTTCATCATTCTTTTCTGAGGATATCAATAAACTAACTAACATAATATATGACCAATTTTTTGGACAAAACTCAGTGGCAGCACTTGGTGGCTGGTGTTACTGGGGGAGTTGTATCCGTTTTGGTTTTGCATCCATTGGATTTGGCTAAGATCAGATTGCAGGTGAATGAAGGTACAGGTGTTATCGCATGCAGGTTGGGATTGGTTTTTGGTCGCTGCGTTTCACATATTTTTTGGTCTCAGTGAGGTCAGTAAGGTCGGTGTACTAGTTTCCGCAATAAGCTTTCTGTGGTTTAAGGAACGTTCGTTTTGATTGGACCAACTGCATATCCCAATAATCGTGGGTTCCAGGATCCTGAAGGAAAAAATGGCAATATGAATCAATCGTTGGTCACTGGCTACTATGGGACTGCATCTCCTAACGTTGCTTCACTGCCTTGTGGATCAGACCTTTAGGTCGAAGGCTCAGGGCGTGGCCCCTAAGGAAACCACCTATTTATTAAGCTCAGATTCTGAGGTTTTCATTTTTTTTATATATTAGTAACTGATCTCATTTGAGTCGTTTTTTGTCGCAAAATGTTTGTTACCATTAGTCACTCAGTGAGCATAAAAAGTCACTCTCTAATAAACGATTCTAGATGTTTGAAAAACATAAATTCCCTGGTTGAATTTTATAGTTTTTGTTATTATTATTATTTGTTATTTCATAAAAATGACCGTCATCAGTACTTACTACTTATTTATTGTGTAGACCCAAAACAACGGGAACTATTCAAACATTGTATGAGATAGTTCAGTGTAGAGGTCTTCGTGGTCTTTACCTTGGTTTCACCCCGAATGCTATTGGAGCGGGTAGTTCATGGGGTTTGTATTTTTTCTTGTAAGTACTTTTTTCTGTGGTATAACTATATATTTACCAGAGTTGGTTTATCCACAGGATAACTTTTATTTATTTATTTATTTGAACACATAAATATTGGTACAAGAGGGCACCAAATATATATGCGTCACACAGGATAACTTAGTGAATAACTAGACAAATGCATTAGCATGTCTTTAACTGTCTATATGCCCAACAAGTTATTTCGGTTGAAAATTAGATATATATTCATAAACTGGGCTAACATCAACAAAAGTGTAAGATAAATCTTGATTGTTCTTATTTTTCACTAACCTGATTACTGCTTGAGTCATCAGATCCGGTTGAATTTCGGCAGTTAATTTCTATATCACAGGTAAATATGCTTGGTAAAATTAGTTATCATCATCTTGAGTAAGCTAAGAATATCTGAAAAGCTACCAGGTAATTATAAAACACGTACAACGTCTATAGTGTAATTAAAATGAGTTTTGACAATTATTCGGATAACTTTGACCAATCGTTATTGCTTATACACATCTCTAACCAAATGCAGGTTTATGCTTTCAGGCCTTTGATCAAACTTTTTGTAGTAGAGGTAATAAAACCAGGCGACTAAATCTTTGAAATGTCGAGATAAAAAGCTAAACACCCAAGTACCAATTACGAACGGTTATATTTCAGTACAATTTGCGTCAAAATCCAACAGTTTCGTTTTTTTAAACAGTTTATATACTGTCTTTTTCAAGTTTTACCTTGATTATATTATTACATCAACATCCTTGTCACATTTTAACTAATTAAGTCCTCACTAATTCACGTTGGAACATCTATCTTTCACTTAACAGCTATGAAAGCTTGAAACGATTTGCTCAGCGCGGTGATAAAACCAAATCTCTCACTACCAATCAATATCTCACATTTGCTGCTTTGTCAGGTAATTTCTAAAATAATAACTTCATTTTCTTATCCCGTTTAATGATGTGTAATTTTAAATAAGTAAGTATTAAAATCACCTAAACGCAGTTTTAAAAAAGTCCGAGTTACGCTGATTGCTAACGCACGTTGGTAAACTATCTGATCAATGCCCTAGTGTTTATACCCCTCTACTTTCGACTAACTACTTAGTATCAGGTCCAAAAGTGATGTGTATGTTTCGGCTCGTGGTCATGCAGTTGCATTATTTAGTCGTAAACCAAATAAACGTTATACCTTTGAAAATTCATATTCATCGACCAAAATTTCTTTTGCGTATGTTCGGGATAATGCATCATCAAGTATCAGCAGTACTGACTAGTGGTTGGACAAATTAGAATAGTGTATGAATTATATATATATCACAACAGTTGAGCTGTCATGGCACAGATAGCTTAATGTTGACGTGTCGAATTACGTAGATTCGAATACCAGAAGACAAAATACTTTTCAAATTGCAAGTTTTTAAAATGTACCTTAGTTTTAAACATTCGATCATAATCTCCTTAATAAGATTTGTTAAATCACCAAAACCTCATAGTAACTTAAATCCAGACCCTTAAAATCAAATTTTTATTAGGCGATTTCTAAAACCATAAAAATAACTATAAATACTCATATATTTCATATTAATTACATTTTCAGGTGTGATTACACTTTCAATTGTAAATCCAATTTGGGTGATTAAAACTAGATTATGTTTACAATATGAAAAGGTAACGAAATCTTTTCCGAAATCTCAAATTACAAATCCATCATTAGTAATACATTCTCAATCTACATGGCATGCTTTGCATAATCTATGGATTCATGAAGGTTTTGCTGGGTTGTATCGTGGTTATGTACCCGGTTTATTCGGCGTTAGTCATGGTGCTATCCAGTTTATGTTTTATGAACATTTTAAAAATTCTTATAATACACGTTATCGAGGAAGGTCAGTTAGTGAGAAACTGGTAGGTTATCTTCCATTTTTCTCAACTATTCTATTATCAATGTCTTCAAATAGAATAATAACTATTCATTAATAGTAACTCCGCTTGTAGCTCTTTCAGGACTACTGCAGGTCCTTAGCCTGGTTAAAGGAGGGGATTGGGCATGCGGTTAGTAACCCCTATCCCGTAGAAAGCAACCTTGCTAAAAACCGCTAACCAGATTAAACAAATCAAACCATTAAAAATCTGCCATCCGAGTTGAAAGATCTTTCGAAACAATTATGACGCCTCATGATGAAAGCCATGATTCTTCGGAAGTCACGAGGCCGATGCCGCTTCTAACAACCAGAGTAACAATTAGTAACCCACCAATTATATCAATGATGACGATAAAAATGATTTCTATAAGAGGGTGTAGTCGATTTCAGTGAAGTGCCCAGAAAAAGACCTGAAAATTCTGATGGGAGATCTAAACGTCAAAGTCGGGATGGACAACACCGACATGGACTAGGTGAAAGGAGAGAGAATGGTGACAGATTCGCAAATTTATGTGCATTCAACAGGATAGTCATAGGTGGAGAAAACGATGATCAAACACAGAGATTTGTCTAATATCCTCAACTCAGAGAGGTCAGATCTTACAAGCATGGGGCAAAACTACTTTCAGCAACGAGTAAACTCGACCGTTTACGGCCGAACTAATATCACGAAGGCACCAAAGATGGACCAAATTGGCATAACCAGCCCTTACTTTCACTATACTTGAATCCATCTCGTCAGACGCCACGACTAACACTTACGCAAGAACTCAGAAACATAAAATCTCCAACTAATTCTACATGCTCACTATCAAGAGTGAGTGTAGGCATAGTCTCTTGACAGTCTTGTAGAAGTACTTTGCATTTAGATGGTGAAAGGCACGTGCCACGCTCGCGGACATTTGTAGCCAACTGATTAAGTTCGGTTTGATTAGCTTGTGTATCAATGTACAGTAAGACAATATCATCCACATACTTCTTGGGAGCCGATCCACACCACCATTACCTGCAACCATCAGAGCTGATTCCAGAAGGTCATCAATCGCAAAGTTGAAGAGGAATGATGAGGTCAAGCAACCCCGCCTAACCCCACTACCTGAATGGAACAGCGGAGAAAGGCGGTTGTATGTCCTCACTCTGACTGAGGTGTTATTATGTAGGGCTTTCAAGATATTAATAAACTTCTTATGCATACCTTCAATAGACAATCCCAGAGAACAGCCCTGTCCAACCAATCGAAGGCAGCCGTAATGTCAAGAAACACTACAATTTTTGGCTTGTGATAAGCATGACGGTTCTCTAACATTTGGCGTAAAGTGAAGATATGATCAATGCATCCTCGACTAGAACGAAAACCAGCCTGCTATCCGCGAATCAATGTTTCCCAGGTTTTGAACAATCTACGAAGTATGACGGAAGCCAATATTTTGGACGCAATCGGGAGTAGATTTATTCTCCAGTAGTTGTTACATAGATGACGTGAACCCTTTATAAAGATAGAGACAACTATCGACTCATTCCACGATGTTGGAACACTCTCCAACTTCTAGACACTTGTGAACAACTCAAGTCAATTTTTTTAACCTGAAGGTCGCCACCATCTTTTAAAGTCATTTGGGTCTGGTGGTTTGTGGCACTTCTGAAGTTGGAGTTTCCTGCAGACTTCCGCCTCGTTAGCGGGTCAGTCGTCACCGGCCATGATGGACAGGACAATCTGACCGATGTTACTGGGGCAACAAACCAGCTGAATTGTTCCACGAAAAAATCTGTTCATCGTCCAAAACGTCGGCAGATGTTATTGATTGGCATTACGTCAGCTTCAGAGACTTTCACTCACATAAGACTTCTCGTTGCCAGTGTGTCGTATGAATTAAAAGAGCTTCTGGTAGTTACCAGATACAGCTGCCGTTATCAGACCTGAGACCAACAAGCCCCCATTGGCAACCAAACGACTCTCCTCTATGCCTAGACGCCCAACTTGTGCATTCAAGTCTCCGGTTAGTACTACAATACCTGTCCGTACCCTATTTATTCTCTCAAGATTCTGGAGCCCATGTGCACCATTGGTTTCGTATTAGTGTTTTCCAACTCTCCTAAATAGATCTTCCGTACCTACCAACCCTACCTCATTGTCGGACGTTTGCTCTTCGTTCTTCTAATTTCATGGACAACATCCTCGACGTGAGTAGGACTTGAATGCCAGTGGCTGTATACACTTGGTCGTATGAAAGCATTTCGATAGGGAGAGTAGACTCTTCCGCGCCGCATCATTCCATTTAAGGGCAAAAACTACTGAATATTAATAAGTAGTTTAGTGTGATACACAACGAACGAGCAAGAGAGAAATAGTGTTCAGAATATATTTTACATTAGTTAGATAGCGTTATTAGTTCTCATATAATAGATGTAACTTGTCGTTTATGGGCTAGAAAAATTGTTAAACTTTTTAAAGCAAAACATTTGATCCCCTTTCAATACTTTCTTTCTGACTCTCTTCACTTTAATTTCAGTCCGCTGTCGAGTACCTAACATTTTCATCTGCTTCTAAACTGATCGCAGCTGTAATAACTTATCCGTATCAAGTTATTCGTTCAAGAATGCAAGACCAGCATAGGAAATACGATGGCGTTACTGATGTTATTCGACAATTGTGGAGGTTAGTCAGTTTCTATTTCAAGTTCAATTGAATTACTCTTTTTTGTTCGTAAGGAAATACTATTATTTCATTGAAATTTTATATTCACAAATGGAAATTCGAGTTTTAGTTTTATTAAATTTACTAGTTAAAGTAAAAAAATAAAGTTTCCATATACCCTTTAATATTAGACTCTGATATAAGTAACATTCCATGATCAATAAAATCCTTCGAAAAGAGAATAAAAGATTTCATGATGTTTATTTGTGTTCCATTGTCTACTCTAAATTTTTCTGTGTACTGCAATAGTTAGTCAGTCATAGATAACTTAGATCCCGGAACCCTTTACATTTGAATACAATTGCGGACATCTACTAGGTAAAAGTGTAGTGAAGGTGAACACAGGTGAGGACAACTGAATTATATTTAGCACAAAATTACCGAGTTACTTGGTGAAATAGGAAAAAACCATACTCTAATACTTAATTTGCGAAATGTTTAATAATTGTCTCAGACTTCATTGTTCTTGCATTTCCATACTAATTACTTTCTATTCCCGTTGTTCCTTTTTTGATCTTCTCAATTTTCTGCTGCCAGACATTGTATTCCTAAGTCGCGTCATATACTACTTATGTCAATATAAGTAGCACACATTATTATTATTGTTATTGTTGTTTATTTGGACACATAAATATTGGTACAAGGGGGCACCAAATATATATGCGCCACACCATATTTGTGTGTGTGGGCTGTGATACCGCCCGGGTGCCCAGACCGAAGCAGGTGGTTTTCTTAGGGGGCCACACCCCGAGCCTTTGACCTAAAGGTCTAACCCACAAGGCAGTGGAGCATCGTAAGGAGATGCAGTCCCATGGTAGCCGGTGACCAACGATTGGTTCATACGCCATTTGTTCCCGCAGGATACTGGAGCCCATATGCACCATTGGTTTGGAATCCGGTTAAAGCGCCGGACATTCGCTTTTCGTCCTCTCATTTTCGTAAACAACACCCCCGCCACGAGAAGGCAATGAGTAGGACTTCCCTGGCAGAGGCTGTATACGCGTGGCCGTGTGAGAGCATTTCGAGAGGGAGGGCGGGCCCACCCCACTCTCGGCCATACCAGTGCATTTGGGGGCATAAGTAGCACACGTCACAAAGGTATAGAGAATGTACGATTTAGAATAAATGTGTATCAATTAACTGATGACATCTTACATCAGGAAAGCAAGAGTAAAGGAAAACAAAGAATCATTTCATAATAGTAATGACAATAATAATTTCAGCTGTTCGTAAATCCAAAATCTTGTATATTAGAAAAAAAAAGAGACTTATAATCTTTTGGGGGATAAATAACAAACATATTTGACTGTTGCAGTCAATTTTGTACCATATCGCTCGAAATTCACAGCTTTGTATATGCATGGTTATCTCGAAGACTACAACTTGAAATTTTACAACTCATCCACTTCCTACACAGTTCAGATTAACGGTGATTGACTTAATGTATATTAATTACAAGTTTTGGTTTGTTAGTAAAGCACATGTTCTAATAATCTTAATTGATTAACATTCAAAACTTTACCAATCAAATTATCACTGCTGTCTAACAACTTAGGTCTTATTTCGGTATTGCCTATTCAATAATTTTACCATACATGATCAGTGTTTTGGAAGGTATCATTGATTAATATCATTTACTTCTTAAAGTCTAGGATATTAAATCGCTCCTAACTCTGTTCATAGACATATTACTCTTTTAAGCCTGTTACCCCTCATGGGGGGCATAGGCCGCCAACCAGCATTCTCCATCGAACTATGTCCTCGGCTATCGTTTCCAGATGTTTCCAGTTGCTACTCATCCTCTTCATGTCTACTCCCGATTACCGACGCATTGTGTTCTCTGGCCTTCCTCTTTTCCGTTCCCCTTCACGATTCCAAGTTAGCGCTTGCTTCGTGATACAGTTTGATGATTTCCTTAATATATGTCCTATCCACTCCCAACGTCTTTTCCTAATTTCCTAATCAGCTCGAAGCTAGTTTGTTCTCTCCCACAGTAAACTGTTGTTGATGGTATTCGACCAACAGATATTGAGTATCTTGTGTAGACAATTGTTTAGAAATACATGTAATATTTTGATGATGGTTGTAGTAGTTCTCCAAGTTTCATCTAGCTATAGTAGAACTGTCTCGATGGTCATGTTGAAGATTGTGACTTTGATGTTGGTTGACAGTTGTTTTGAGTTCCATATGTTGTTCGATTGCATGAGTAGTGTCATTACTTTGTTAAAACTTGCCTTTACGTCTGCATCAGATCAGGTCATCTACGAATTCTAAATCATTAAGCCAATCAGGGCAGTTTATGAGTCAATGATAACAGTGGGACTAGATTACATAAATAAAAATATTAAGTGAAAAGTAAAAATTGGTAGTGTGTTAGTTGTGATAACACTAATAAAGGCTTGAATCAATCTTTCATAATGGGAAATAGGTCAATGACCTTTTTGACACGTCCGTTTTCTGGTTTCACAAGAAAAAAGTCAGCGAGGGTAGAACCTAGAGGTGAACCCATCTCTATTTCATCAATTTGTCTATAATGTGTTATTATTAAAGACAAAATGGACATTCACTGTACATTTCAGGAGTAATTCTTTGAGACTAACTTCGGGAATTCTAATATTCATCTGTTTTTCAAGTAGTTGTTGGCACACAAACTCAGTATTCTCGGCTAACGGTACATTGGTGAACAAGGAAGCAACATCTAGACATAACATCCGTTCCCCTTACAAGTTCATATGCTCAACCTTGGAAATGAAGTCGAAAACGTCTTTCACGCTTCTGTTGATGACCAGTTTGTATGTATATATTCGGATGAGTACATACATTTTCCATTCTGCATAGCTTATAAACTTCCTTCTCACTCTAGTAGCCGGTTCTACTCGTGTATGGGAAGATTACGTATTGATGTCAAATTAGATACCACACTACATATGTAATTGTCATCGTTGTTCCGCATATATATATATATATACTTTTGGTGGAGTTTTGTTCTCTGAGCTGGACCAAACCATCCAGCTCAGAGAACAAAACTCCACCAAAATCATCCACCTGAGCTACAAATCTTCTCCACCATCTCAAAATATATATACTTGTTCATCTTTTTGTTTTTTATAATATAGAGGTGAAGGTGTTCATGGATTTTATAAAGGACTTGTTCCATATGTACTCCGATGTACTCCTGCTTGTGGAATTACATTTCTTGTATATGAATATAGTTTAATCATATTTGATTGGATCAAATGACAATAATTAGCTTTCAATTATATATAGTTAATTATGCTTAATTTGTTTTACACGTAGATGTCTTTGACTTACATTTTGTAGAATTTATATGTATATACCAGTGATCATAATTTTTCTGATTTGTAGATTGTTGTCAATTTAATTCTACCCCATTTCTACATTCTCTGTATTCTTATAATGAATTGCTTATTAGAGTTGATTTACATTTTTCTAAGGAGTTTGGGACTGGGATAAACCAACTATTTTATCTCTAGTCAATCATTCTACAAGTGACCCAACTTGTCACATCACAAATCAGCACAGGAAGGTGAAATGCTAAAGCATTCAACGTTATAGAGTGGAATGTGTGCAAGAAAAAGTGAACAGTGAATGTCTTTACATACAGCGTAGTTGATATGAACCCAGACTTAGAACCGATGGCAGCCCCAGAAGGACTCCAGGCGAAGTTGCTATTCGATTTACTGTGACTTTTTATAGCTTATTTAGTGTTAATTGTTAATGTAAAATCATTCTCAAAATGTCAGTCAGACAAGAACAACATAAACTTGATTTATTGTCATCGGTTCAGGTTTCCGCATGGGCATCAACATAATGAGATGAAATTGTTAAGATTGTAACCACCACAACTACACTTATTAGCATGAAATTTTTTCCAGATGATGATTGACAAGATCATAATAAGGGATTATGTATTCAAAATATTCGTTCACAAAATAAATTACCATTTTGTTAGCGGGAAAGCTAATCTAAAATGCTATTTTATGCATATGCCCATGCATGACAAATTCCACGCTTCTGTTTCATTCATTAAATCTCACTACACAAAGTTTACACTGCTGATATTATTCACTAATCAAGCACACAATTTATGCCGAGTCACTTTTTTACAATCGAGGGCTAGTGATAAGAAGTGAAAGCTATAACTTTACAGAAATAAAGATTACCAGTTGAAAGTTAAGCAATCTATACACTATTTTATTAACAGCGCAATAGTTAATTTAAAAACTCATTGACTGATTATGACTGTTAACCAACATTCTTCATTTATATTGTTTGTAGTCTGTTGAGTATATTTTATATTCCCCAAACAAATTTGAATTTTTTCGGTCATCGGGGATTAGGCTCAAGACGTTTTGATAGTTGACGGCCCTCCCAAGTTGAAGGTCCTGGGTTCGGTCGCTAGTAGGTTCGTGGGTGTGCACTACGAATGAGTCCTGTACTAAGACAAAAGAGCTATTTCACACTTTCTAGTTTTTAGCGATTGTCTCACTTAAGTTAGTTCGTTTCCACCGATCCCTATATTACAACAATTGTTAAGTAACAAAAAACAGCTTACATTTTGGGACCCAATATTTACATTAGTTATTTTGATTAGTAGAATCAGTTATACCAATCCTATTAAATTTAATAACTTTGAATTGAGCTCTGTACTGAACTGTCGTAGCCAAGAGGTTGATACAAATCTCAAAATTGTAAATCTAGTTAGCAAAGAAATACTAATGTATGTTGGAATCTGTTGAAAGCTTTCACCCAAGCAAAGCATTCTTCACATTAATTTCTGTTGTCCTAACAAATTTATATACTGATATCTTCGAAAATTGTCGGCTAATGATGAATGCTAATTGTGAAGGCTACTCGACATGTTGATTTATTTCAACTACTGACTGTATGAATGATCCCTTGTTGATTCTCCTGGATTTCTGGGGTACATTCGATGTATTTCCCAACAGAAATCTCTGCATTGAAAAGTTTATTGTATCAGTTATACATCATCCACTCTGTATTCATATTTGACACCTCATATATATTCTGAGATCAATTAATTCGTGGTAGGCAAAAAATCGTACATTCCTCGAGTTCGTTTGTTTCGAATATATTTTGAGAACATTTGTCTAATTTCTTCATCATATTCATAGAACTACTTATTAAATTGGGAATATGTTGTTAGACGCAAGTCGATACAACCCATTAAGCCTTGACTGAAGTTTGATGTGTTCTGAAAAGTTCGTAACGTTGGCCACGACCAGGGATATATTATCCTTTGCTAAATTCGGTTAATGAATATTTCAAAGCAGCTTTCAGTATTCCGAAGGTTTAAATAGTAGTCCGACGTATTTCTTTGGATAGATATGACATTACCGTATCAGTTTTTAAGTCAGTTATCTAATCCAATTCAAAGAGATTAAAAAAAAATTATATACATGAATAATTCGTTTTATAATTTGATATGAATATTGTTTCATGAAGCTTATTCTGTTAAAATATGTCGTAATACTCGCTTACTATAACGTTCTCACATCAATCAGCCATAAGTAACCTAGAACGTGGAACATACATGTGTCGGTTCATGTCGCCACACCATATCAGCACAACTAAATAAAATTATCGGAATATATGTTGGAGTAGTAAAATTCAAATAGTACCATTGATATTAGAAACTCTTAGATATAAACAACATAAATGAAAAAAAGAAGTTCCCGAACAAAATAAAGATAATTTTGAAATTCAGGATTTAAAGGAAATGCAAAATGTGGATTTATTTGCACTATTGAAATCAATATTCTTTATCACTAAGTGTTGGTCACGATAATCGTTAAACTTCAACCAAGTAGTCGGCAGGTACCAACATGCTTCATTTCAATAATAAATGACTTGATAGTTTAGCTGCTCCTATCTTTCTTCCAACCGACTAAGTGTTTTCACATGATTTTGTATTGAGGAAAAAATATATATGTAATTACATATTTCTAAAAGAAATTCTAACTACCTACTTACATCTTAGTAACCATTTTTAAAAATCTGATTCTACTTGAATTCGTATCATTTTAATAGAATCCTTTTAAAACGGAAAGGATAGTTTCACTCGAATTAACAAGTTTCAGAATAAAACAAATTCTAATCACATAATTGGTTCAATTAACTAATCACTGATTGAAATCATGAGTCAATTGAAGCTAGACCACCATGGAAAACTTGGAAACACTGAACGCCCGTTTCGTCCTAGTATGGGACATTAACACCGTTGGATGCCGGCCGGCTGAATGGTCTAGTTGGTTAAGCGCCTGGCGCGAGACTGATGGGTCCTGGGTTTGGATACCAGGGGGGGCGAGATCGTGGGTGCGCATTGCTGAGGCGTCCCGTACTAAGACGAAATGGCCGTCCAGGTTTTCCATGGTGGTCTAGCTTCAATTGACTCATGATTTCAATCAGTGAAATTTCTAAAATCTCTACAAAACCTCTTCTGATAATAATCACTGATCAATAAAATCACTATTAAGCTATCAATTTTCTTTGTAATTACATGATAGAATCAGCAAAAGTTAATCGGATTGAACATGATAACTCTGATTGATCATAAAGAAAAGCAATTAAATAAGACATTCTTATGTTACCGTCGAACAATGAATTACGATAAAATAAAATCGTTACGTGTATCATTTAATAAACGAACATAACACATCCGAAAAACGAATAAAGAGAACAAAATTGCAGAAAAATTTGAATGTTTTTTTTCATCAATCTGTTGTTTATAAATTAAACTGTACACTTGGATATCATTTAATCAGCATTACTTACACCTGTTACTTCCAATGGAGCATAGGCCGCCGACCAGGATTCTCCAACCCACTCTGTCCCGGGCATTCCTTTCTACTTCTATCCAATTTTTGTCCATTGTTTGCATATCTATATCCATTTCTCGACGTGATATGTTCTTTCTTCTTCCTATTCTCCTTTGGACTTGAGGTTCCGAGTGAGGGTTTGGCTTGTGACGCAGTTGAGTGCCCCTACAGCAGGTTGTTGCTGGTAGTATCTGGTCAACGGAGCCGAAGTATTTTGTGTAGACAATTGTTAATAAACACTTGTATCTTCTGGATGATGGTTTTCGTAGTTCTCCAGGTTTCTGCCCCATACAGCAGAACTGTCTTGACATTTGTATTGAAAATTCTGACTTTGGTGTTGACTTACAGACAGTTGTATGGATTTCCAGGTGTTCGTCAATTGTGGATATGCTGCTCTTACTTTGCCGATTCGCTCCTTCACATTTGCATCAGATCCACCATGTTCATCAATGATGCTGCGCAGATATATAAATGTGTTTACATCCTCCAAAGCTCCATCAAGTGTAATTTGATCGGTGCATCCTGTGTTGTACCAACACGAACTCCACAAAGTGATATATGTAGCTGAAGATTAGATACCAATTAGAATATTAGTTAAACGGATTACATCTATCAGGACAGTAAATAAGAAAAATCGGTTCGGGGAATTCATTTTCAAAGCTGTACAATCGCATATATATACTTATTTTTTTAGGATGATAATAAACTTTTGTTAGACATAGTGAAAGGGAGGTAGAATAAACAAAGTTATTGAAAAAATTTTTAAACAGGGAAACTAATAATCGTTTGATTCTTAATAGTTCAAATATTCATCAAAAGACAGATAGGGAAATCATCGTTGGTAAAACGGTAGCAGAAGCAGCCTCTGCATTAATAGGCCTCAACAGTCCCAAGAGAAAAACCAAAATCCTCAAATAAAACACGGGAAACACCAACCCAATCACGCTTGATGGAGAAGAGGTGGAAACTTTCACTTACCCAGACAGCATCATCGATGAACATGGAGGATTTGATACAGACGAAAAGGTAAGGGTTAGCAAAGTAAGAAGAGCATTCCTACAATCGAAGAACATATGGAACTCAAAATAACTGTCAACCAACATCAAAGTTACAATCTTCAACATGACCATCGAGACAGTTCTACTATAGCTAGATGAAACTTGGAGAACTACTACAACCATCATCAAAATATTACATTTATTTCTAAACAATTGTCTACACAAGATACTCAATATCTGTTGGTCGAATACCATCAACAACAGTTTACTGTGGGAGAGAACAAACTAGCTTCGAGCTGATTAGGAAATTAGGAAAAGACGTTGGGAGTGGATAGGACATATATTAGGGAAATCATCAAACTGTATCACGAAGCAAGCGCTAACTTGGAATTGTGAAGGGGAACGGGAAAGAGGAAGGCCAATGAATACGATGCGTCGGTAATCGGAAGTAGACATGAAGAGGATGAGTAGCAACTGGAAACAGCTGGAACGGATAGCCGAGGACATAGTTCGATGGAGAATGCTGATTGGCGGCCTATACTCCTCCATGAGGTGTAACAGGCGTAAATAAGTAAGTAAAGGACGACTCAGCATGACAAGATATAATTTTGAAATTGATATTAAATGTAATCAGCAGGATCATAGGAAGAGAAATAAAACAGTTGAGGGTAGATGATTTTAGGAGAAGTTGGAAGGGGAAGTAGATGGCTATAAAGTAAAAACAGAATATCTACTTTGAACTTTCCACAAGGGTAATATGTTCACTAATTTACTACTTATTAAAATTGTTTCAACTTAAATACGAACTATTGTTTTAATAATCATAAAGATACATAGACATAGTCAGTATATTATATTATGTTAATGCACAGATTCATGGTAGATTCTTATCAGTTATAAGAAGATTAGAAGAATGATTTAATAAAGTAAATGGTTACTTCATCAATTTTAATTTATATGAATTCTTTTACCTTAAGTAATCACATTTTGAATCTGAAAAAAAGATGACTATAGTGGAAAATACATCTAAAATATTCTTGATCTATTAAATCTATCAATTATTTCAATTACATTCACTTATGTGTCGTTTTACTGGTATCACCGCATTGTTATATGTATATCGTGTGCGGGGATTGCCTCAATATATCCTTAAGTCACAGGCTAGCGTCTGATGGGATCACCGGGTAAGTAATAGTGAGTTTAGATAAAGGGATATAAGGAATTAGGTATTAGGAATGATGGTAAATCAGTTTATGAGGTTGTGAATCTTCATCGACTCAGATGGTTGGGCCAGGTGTTACGTATGTCTGAACATCGATTACCACGACGTGCGATGCTAACCGGTGTTCGGGATGGTTGGAAGAAAGTTAGGGGCGGCCAAACCAAAACATGGCATCAGTGCTTGAAGTCACTAACTTCTAGTGTGAGCCATGTTGTTAGATGCAGACTAATTGGTTGGGATTTGCGTGACTATCGTAACCAATGATTGGAGACTTTGTGTGACATGATTCACAGTCGATCACAATGGCGTCGGTGTGTACACTCTCCATCTTCCCTTAAACTAAGAGATTAAAATCGCTTCATATCTTTCTTTCTACTAATTAATTCTTTCGTCCTGTACTATATCCGTATTGCAATGTTTCATTTATACATTACCACCTCTGAATTAACTACTTTTATGAATCCGGTGTCCATCTTGTTGCGTTAATGAGGTATGGCAACTTGGACCGATGCATATATGTGCCTGGTCCTACGTTGTAGCTGACTGACTGACTGACTGACACAAGCTGTTTAAGCAAAGATTAGTAGTGGAATCCAGTGTGATGCGCGCTTCCTCCTATTTGGGACCTGTCAACTGGATGTACCTGCATCTCAAAGTCCATGTTCACTCTAGGCCTCAAACCAAGTACCGTTCATTTCAAATGCCATCACGTTATCCACTTACCTACTAAGTCCTGATAGCCACCTGATTTTGCAGTAATAGTGTGAAGTTTAAATTCACTTGGTATTGTTTTACTTGTATCTTCCTGTTATTGTTTAACGACTACAACTGATAAGTCACTTATTGGCATATATACATCTTGTACGGGGATCGCCTCAATTTAGTCTTAAATTACAAATTGTTCAAGCAAAAGATAGATAATGGCTAACAGTTTCATTTTATTCCCATTTCCTATTACCTAATTTTCTATCAATTTAGGTTATATTAAAATTACATGAAATTGATTATCTTATCAGAAGTAATCATTCAACATTTTCCCAATTGTTTATATGTGTCTATACACACACACACGTATGTGCGTTCACACCTATATATGTATATATTGATACATATTTAAAGAAATAGATATTTGAGTGGGTGGATCATACATTCTACCCTACACATTATTTAAATCCCAAGGTCATCACAATCGAAGTGCAAACACAATCAACAATTGATTATGATGATAAAGAAAAATAGGTAATTTGTAAATTATTTTTTTTCTTAAATGAAAAGAATCTTCATCGATCATTGGTATCATCATTTCTGTTTAACTCTAAATAGGTGATTGTATTCCCCCTTTTTTGTGTGTTTTCCTTCCACCACCACCCCCCACCTTTATACAGAAAAAGAATTTTTTTTGAATCCTATTCTGATTGGTTATAAAATCATTGTGTATCCAATTGACAATAACATGTCATTAGGGTATATGTGTTGCACAATTGATTATTATTTCTTTTCTTCTTATTACTATTATAAATTCCATTTGATCCTATTTATTTTCATTATTGAAATCATTCACAGTATTCATTATTCATTGCAGTGATACGTTCACTTCAGTTCAATTCAATTCAATTCAATTCATAACAGGATCTATTCTGAATTAACCATAAGAAGTAACTTTAGTTTTCATTATCTAAAAGAAAAAGTCTTAATAACAATAATAAAAAAGAATGGATGGAATTAAAAAGAAAATGATTGCAATGAAATTAGAGAAGGAGAATGCAATGGAAAGGTTAGTTGTGTAATAATAATAATAATAATATGTCATTATTATAAATAACATGATTGTAAAGTGTAATGTACTTGTTATTGAAACGAATTGATATATGTTGAATAACTCTACTACTATATTAGTCAATTTCAATCAGTAGTTATAACTTAATGACCAGCAACTGTAGTTGTTCCAACTATATGAGAGATCGGTTGCAGTTAGATTAGCTCAGTGATAACGTCCGACAATGATATCATTATTCTTATTAATATTAAAATCTTTCCACATACGAAATAAGCACGTACTCATATATATATATATATATGCAAAGATATACAATGTTTTCATATCATAATCACCAGTCAGTCAGTCAGCTACAACATAAGATCAGGCATATATATGCATCGATCCATACCTCATTAGCACAACAAGATGAACACTGGACTCATAGATGTAGTTAATTCAATGGTGATAATATATAAATGAAAGATTGTATATCAGGGCATAATACAGGAAGAAGGAATTAGTTCATATATCAAATGGATTCAATAAAGGTGATCGTAAACATTATTTAAAACCTTTTTTTTAAAGAAAAAATTCCTTTAATGTTCAATTTTACCAAACAAAAAAAATGATACCTTAATTGATTGAAACAGTGTTTTTCACTTTGATTTGTATCATCTATAGACTTCAATGAATGACTAAATTTAATTGCAAGTTTACAAGTATCACTAACTAGAAGTTAAGTTGACAATTTTAAATGAGTCAATTGAAGCTAGACCACCATGGAAAACCTGGAAGCACTGGACGGCTCCTTCTGATAATAATCATCTGCTCACTAGTGATTGTTTGCAAGAGGTATTTCCTGGAGTTCTAGTGAGAAGCCGTTACCAGTGGAGTTCAACCAGGTCTGTTGTGAGATATCAACTCGCTGAAGACAATGGTGTATGCTGGCCTGACTTTGTAGATTAGTTGAAGTCAGATATCAACACCGTTGGATGCCGGCCGGCTCAGTGGTCTAGTTGGTTAATTGCCTGGCGCGAGACTGATAGGTCCTGGGTTCGAATCTCGCGGGGTGCGAGATCGTGGATGCGCACTGTTGAGGAGTCCCATACTAGGACGAAACGATCGTCCAGTGCTTCCAGGTTTTCTGTGGTGGTCTAACTTCAATTGACTCATGATTTCAATCTGTGAAATTTCTAAAATCCCCACAAAAATCCCTTCTGATAATTTTAAATGAATAGAAAATTCATCTTTCTACATGATGAAATGTTATATTTCCATTAATTTTATTATGAAAATAAAAACATTTTTTTCTATTTATTGAATGATTTGGACTAAGTAATCACTTGGACATAGCAACAATTAAAATTGTTCTTAAGATATAAAGTCTTTATTCATTTTGTTAAAAATTTTTTCATTTTATTTATTATTTAGAGCAGTACAATATGAAGAATTACTTAAAAAGAAAGAAGAAGAACGTGAAAAACGTGAAAGTGAAATTGCTGAATTAAATACTAAAATGAAACAAGCACAAATTGATTGTGATGAAGTACAAGAAACATTACAAGAACAAATGAATAAATTAGAGGAAACTGACAAACGTGCTACTAATGTAAGTTGATAACAACTTTTAACTATATAATATATAAATGATTGTTATTTGGATACATATGAAGATGTTTCAGTGACTGGTTATTATGATTGCAAATGAACTAGTGGTGCCAACCTTTCGGTCACAAGTTCGAGTTCAACTTGATTCAATCATCTTTAAGCATTTCGGTAGTGCAACCAACTTTTATACCTGAAGTGCAATTCAAGATCACGTATACAAATTGTTACTTAGCAAATAGGGTATGATAGAGTTTGTAAATATTATTACTACACCATGACTAAAAGGAGTGAGAAAGCAACTTTCAATTAAGATTTCATTAAATTCAAGTTTAAGCATTCGAAGAAATGCTAAGAATGATGTCAAGATTTAGGAATAATGTGTTTCATCGTTAAAAAATAAACTAACACTTTGACAATAATAATTATATGCACTCTCTTGACATCAATGGGCTTTCAATAGGTCATTAAATGTCAAGTACTAAAAGATAAATAAAACGACATTCGGTAGAAGGATCTATTTGCAACGAATTTATCATCAAGCTGTATAATCGTATATACATTTGGAAACCTTTTCTTAAATCTAGTATCATTATTTTTTATTACATCATCATGCTTATTCCTTGTTTATGTGTCTTCATGAAACAAATAGTTCGACAAAAAATCTACATAAATTCACACAGAATTTAATTACAGTGAGAATAATCTACCACCGTAACTGGTTATAGCTACAGACTTTAAAATGAGACCATTGAGCTTAAGCAGTTTGCAAAAACTGGGAGGTTCGGCTACGTGAGTAAATGAGATTGTAAACCTGCGACAATTAAGTAGAATGATTTCTTTTTCATTTATACTGTGCATAACTCCATGCTTCAGAAAATTGTTAGTGTGAAATAATTCACAAGTAATCACTAGAACAACACACTATGTTTTAACTGATTCCAAATAATCAGTAGGAACCCCCGAACTTATGTATCGTGCTAGTTGGCACTCCTCAGTAAGGCTAACCTATAATCATAAGGGAACTGGTGTTACCTGTGGGATTCGGATACTCGCCACCAAGCTTCACTATCGCTACCAGACGTTACCACGGAGCTAATCTGTCTGCAACTGACCTGCCATATAGTTGGGATGTTTATAGTTGCTGGTCATCAAGTAATAACCATTGATTGAAATTTACTAACATAGCAGTAGAGTCATCCAATGTAGTGTGTGGTTTAGTTGTGATGTTCGTCCATCGTTTTAGTAATTTTTCGACAGTTCGTGCTTCTGAAAATACACTGAACAACTGCTTATATTTCTGGGTGATCAACAATTAAATTCATAAGTTGTGTTCTGTTGTAAGACATACTTTTTGCTCCGGTGGTTACACCTCGTTCTATTGATAGGAACCAGACCAGCAACGAATACTTCTTTATTTAGATCGTGTGACAGCACACAGTGGAGTGCAATATTACCTCTTCAAACACACAAAGCTTTCAACGTTCAACATGAAATAATAGGAGATATAATCTCCATACATAGTAAGGAAGTGAGTGAATACTTAAGCGTTTCTGTCTTGATATTTGCTTAGATGTTTTCAGTCAACCCTTAATCAATCATCCTAAGTTTTTATAGACTTACTGTCATTTAAAACTATTTTGCTCAAGGTTTAAATTAAAATAATATCATTTAAATGATCAAGCATCCACATTCCTTACATGTTACATATGGTTATCTTGAAAAAGATTCCGTGGAAATAGTCATCTGGTTGATATTAGTCTTCAGCAGTAAGGAAAGGAAATCAATCAACTTATGTTAATCACTGCAATTTGTAGTACTGTAATGATCATATCTCCTTTTGAATGTATTAACAGAAGGTGCTGGTATTACGTGTTGTGATAAAGATTTCCACTAATTCAATACCCGGTGCAAGAAACGGAACCCTAGACATAAACTATTGGGTCTCAGTTTTTGAGCTTTATACAAACGTTCTCTCAGAGAATCAATTCTAAGTAAAAGAAAAAGAAATGATATAGTGGTACCAAAATCATCGTATTAGATCATCTCATAACCTGTGGTAATATAAAAGAAGTAGGTTGAGCTATCCTAGTTCTGTCCTCTTACGATGGGTCAGAGAGGCCTTTCGATATTGTGGTTCCACGCTGTTGAACTTATTCTATCATATCAATCTCATACTTAAAACAAGGACTCGCTGATTGTATCCCATATTCCAGATGCAGACAGACGGAATTTGAGCACAAATCCCTAAACATTTCTTCGTCAAAGTAATGAAATGGCTTATAAGCTGCCTACACGTTCCTGAAGCCTTCAGCAGCAGCAGTCTTACAGTTACCCCTCACTTAAAGGTCGTTGCTTATTATGACCCCTAGATCTTTATAATTCATTTCTTTAGGTTGCAGCACCTCACTTGTTGTGCCATTCAATTGCACCGTAACTTTCTCCATAGAATCATTTCTTTGACAACCCGTACATTAATTCCACTATTAAATGTTGGTTGCTTTGTAAAAGTATCATTTTTTATATATATAGTCCATGGGTCTCAAAATCTTTGTCATTAGCAGGGAGTAAGACAAACGACTTTGCTACCTTCGAGGATATATTTAAATTAAGCAAATGAAGACACCAACAAGACTTTTACATTGAAGGACTCTATTGTCTACAGATTCCCACGTCGGTGGATACTTGTTTACCGGTGTACTCTGTCTAATATCCCTGAAAAAGTCAAGCACTATCTACATCATACTGAAGCTAATCTCTGATTAGATCGGTTGCTCAAACATGCCTTAGAAGGTGTTGAATCAAATTTTTAGTGTCTCGAAAATTTATTTAACATTAAAAACCTTCAGACATCTCAAGGTTGCGTAAAGAGGTACACTTGTCTGTCGCGCTACATCTTTAGTAATGATGGGTGAATCAAATGTTGCGACTGTCGTTAAGAAGAAAATCAAGGAGATGCAAACCGAGTTAGAAAAATTACAGTTTGATGTTATCGCAGAAGATGAAATACTGAGACAAGAGACAGCCTTGCGTGAAAAGGTATGAATGGTAACTGTAGACAGTGATATATTGAGAAATGTAATATATTATTACTATGATTCTCAATTAAAACAAATCCAATGCACTTCTGTTTTTAATCTCTGGTCTTTGCTAACGTTAGCCGCTGCAATTAGAATACTGAAAAGTTATGACATCTCCATAGGCTTTCGAAATTATTTATGTATAACAATTCATTATATCTTAAACATATAGTCTAACCTTTCTATCTGATCAATCTCGTCCACAGTATTGTTATTCCGATTAAAAACTTTTCTGAGCATGTAACGTGTCAAACGTTATTAATATTTTTTAGTAGATTGTTCAAGAAAATGTAGGATACACTAATTAAACCTACTGATAAAAGAACTAACGCAAATGTACAACCCTCCATTCCCAAAGAGGAATACTATGAATTAGTGGTTTCTACAACATGGGTACATGAGAGTACCATTCTTGGTACGTACTTGTTAATTTCTAATCAAAGTTTAATGTTGAACTTTTCAAGCCAATTTTTTAATTATTTTTTAGCTTGTGTACCTCGTGTACACATTGTTATTTGGCACATTTTATAGTTTGCTCTTTGTCGCTTTTTCAGGCTGAAGCTGAAGTGGCAGCGATGACTCGTAGAATTCGTTTGTTAGAGGAAGATCTTGAAGTTTCTTCAAGCCGTCTAACTGAAACATTGACCAAGTTAGAGGAAGCAAGTAAAACTGCAGAGGAAAGTGAACGGTAAGCGTTCGTGGCAAGTATTCTCACTTGTTCACCTTTTTCGCATGCATAATTTTAACGTAATTTTTTGCATGTATGCATGCAGTGCGTGGCGTCAAGTTCAAAATAAAATGGACACGTACGACAAGAAAGTAGAGCAGCTACAGAAAGCTGTCGAGGACGCAACAGAAGCTGCTAAGGAAACTGATAAGAAATATAAAGAGGTAGAGATTTTAGAAGATTTGTTAGGTTTTTAAATGTCTATATATTAATCCCACACTTTCTTTAATTTAATAACCTGCACATAGTGGACGAAAAGACCTTGAGATTCGTTCGATTGCTGATGATGAGCGGCTTAACCAACTGGAGGATCAACAAAAAGAAGCCAAGTATATTGCCGAGGATGCAGACCGTAAATATGACGAGGTGAGTCCTGGATACTTTATGAGGCATATATTCTTTGTGTTGTAGAGATGGCGAACTGGGTATTATAAGCATGGTTTTTAATGATATCTGGTTTAATAGTATAAGAGCAGGAAAATCGTAGTGTTATATCAACCTTGATGGGCTGTTTGCTCATGAAGCCTCACTGTATAATAGATTTATTTGTCAGCCAACACCATCCGTGGCGTCGGCAAAGCATATGGGAAGTTATTAGAGGCATTAAAAAATGGGTGAAACTCTAATTTATGGACGACCTTTGAACGAATTTTTAAGTGACCTTGAGGACATTAGCCAATCAGAAGAGAGTTAGTATAAAGTAAAAATATATTATAAAAGAGTGATGAATTAGAATGGATATTCTTCTTTTACATTATTTGAGAACTTGTTAAGGTTTGATATAGGTTTAGAAGTTTTGAAATCATAGTGCATGCGGTATAAGAACTCGTCCATATGACTCTATAATAATCGTCCTCTGGAGCCGTGGTAGGGTTTTAAAGAATACTTCAGCCTAGACCACATGCCCTCAATGTTGTTTGTATGGACCCCCCGTCGTTGGATCAAAGAAATGACGTTTGTACATCACAACATGATGCACAAAACCAAGTCTGGAGAGGCATCTATACGCTTTCCAAACATCGGTATAGCCGCGGCTAATGTTACTGGAGACTTTATGATCCAATTTGCAACGATTATCATGGTTTGTCTTAGCCTTAGCCGTGACCGGGTAAAAAAAGTGCCAGTTCGAGCAGATTTTTTTCTACAACATATAATACAAAGAAATACAATGTCATCGCGGCAGTCTGCACATCGTGCTGAAATAATGTGTATATATACATCATTGATATCCAGTCACAGGTATCTTTTCAATAGTGCCTGAAATTTAGTGAAATATTTCACTAAATAATATTAGTTTCAGGTGCAATTTTAAATGCAAGGAATGCTAGTCGACTAGCTGTAAGTCTGCACTGACTACGACTTATTATTGCTACACATCCCAACCGATCATCTGCTACGACCTGGAATCTCATCTGAATTAGTCACAGTTCAGATAAAAACATCTTGTCTGTCCGTGAAGTAACTGTCGTGTAGACAAGTATATACATCCTGATTAAGACCTTCAAAGTGGTAGATATCAGCTATTAAATATGACAGGCATCACAATTTCAAATCGATCGCAGTGGTGTAGATGAATTTCTCTTTCCTGTGAATCCAAAATATTTCATTGTCCGTTTTTCATCTCTTCTTACTGATTCTAATATCTTTCCGTTCGTGTTAATATCCGACTTCCGTTTCGTCATAAAGTGTAGTAAATTGAGCATACACAATGTATCCTATCTCTACACTTTTTTGTTTGTTTGAAGTTACTAAATGAACTATAAAACTGAAAGTTAGTAGTCAAATGGATGTTTCACCACTATAGTACGTAAGATTAGTTAGTTAATCAGTAGAGGTACCTGTATCTTTCTGATCCATTAATATTATTCACAATAAAGTAAGTAAACTGTACTTCAAGCCACCATTTATCGACTACACATGTAATGACATTAGTCTGAAAGCCACATTTGTATGTTGTCCAAAGTATTCGGCTCCATACGTCAAAACAACTGTTATGCTCTGCCCAAGGCCAACTACACTAATCTGTATCCGGTAGACAACTTAGAGTGAGATCATGCACACTTTGGTTCTGGCTCAAATATATATGGAAAAACTCTTCAGTCGTTGTGGAGCCATGTTACAACGAGGTCTACAAAAACCGTTTTCTCACAAATAAAACATTGACAAAAGCCATCATTTTTTATTGAGCTTATATAATGAAAGCTGGTCATCTGTTTGATATTTAGCAATGTTACTTACCTTTCCTACACTCATTTAAGTGACTGACATCATTACCTAGCCTTTTTTTACCACAATTTAAACATATTTTGTGATTTCGTACGACGGACAATGTACAACTCAATCTATAATAACTTTAGAAGGTTAATTTTATCACTTGAATGAAACTTAAAATAAATTTTAAGCTTCTAAAACACCCGAATCTGATTAACTCTTCAAATCATTCTGTGTTACACTTTTATCGCTTGTTCTCAAAGATTAATACCGGACATCTTATGTGGCAATAATATAGTTAACTACAGTCTTTATAAGAAATATATTGTTGTACAAGCGATAATACTGATTATCAGTATCCTTTTAATCACATGAACGGTTGTCCTCCATCTGTTTGCCACTAGTTTGCAAGGCTAAACTCTTTTTTCCAACTGTGATTTTCCTTGATCGTGTTCGGGATCCATTAAATCTTTATTAATTAGCATTAATATCATGAATTAAAGCAACGATGTATTAGTTATTAGATTTGTTTCTAAACCTAACCGCTCCCGTAGACCCCAATAATATTACCTGGCTACCCAAATCGTCGTGGATAGAGCAGGACCTTAACCAACCAGTCATTATTTAAAAGCTTAGTACGTAAACACATTTAAGCTATTTCCGCATCCCTATTTTTTCCTGCCGTTAATCAGAAAAAATACCTATCTAGTCCTCAAAGATGCCATTTTTTCTCTTTATTGATGGATTAATCGCCATGCTGTAGCGCTCAGGCCACCAAGGGTATAAATAAATTTTATGGACCATGGGTTGAGCCCTGACCATATGTCGTAATCACATTAATAGATGAATTAATATTCATTGGTATTATTAAAATTATACAGTTATATTTGTGTTTTGATATATTTATTTGTTTATCACGATTGCAAGCCCTATTTGATGCTATTTTCTCTCCCTTTTTAGGCTGCACGTAAATTAGCTATTGCAGAAGTTGATTTTGAGCGTGCGGAAGCTCGTCTCGAAGCTGCAGAAAGGTAGCCAGAAACACATATATGCATCACAAGCAAACAACGTATTTCATGCATCGTCCATTATGCTGCATGGTTTTATTGTGTTTAAATAAACCTCAACAACTGTCTTGAAATTATTATTACTATTCGTGCTAAGTATTTGTAGTTTTTGTGCATTTATTAACCGCATGTCTTTCTCTTTGTTTCGTATTAAAAATGTCTTCCACTCCGTTACCATACTCTGCACTTTATAATAACTGCCTGTGAATTTGTTCAAATCACCTGAAGATCTCTTGTACACTGGCCTTAACTGAGAAGAATTTAGCTGAAGCTGAAACACGCATGGCTAAATCCGAAGAGTAAGTTTGTGTTCAGTTGTTTTTCAATCCGTTGTTAATTGTTTATTTTGTTACTTCTAAGTTGCTTGAGATTCTTGTTCCGTAAGGTCTTATCCACACCAAGAAAGTATTATAGCAGCAAACGTCACGTCTAAAAGGAAAGTAATGTTGTTAACTAGGTATCATTATCAAGGTTCGATTTGAAAATTTCGAATAAATTGAGAATTGGGTAGACTGTTATAAATAAAATAATATATTTGTAATATCCCAATGAGTAGAAAAATTAGGTTTTCTAACGTTTCTTGACTCAGTTTAAGCCACCTCTTCAGAGAATAGATAACAAAATCAAAATTAATCCGAGGTTAGACTTAGATTACACTGAGTCACGAGATGTCAGAAAATCTAATTTTTCTACTCATCGGGATATTACAAATGCCGTTGACTGTTTCTTGGTGCAACGTCAGCGCGCTAAAAAATGTTGCTTGATGGATTTATCGTTATTGAAGTGAAAATTTCAAAGTATAAACTCGACGTAGTGGTAAATTCTCAAAAAATCCATACATAATATCGCCATTTCTATCTTAGACTGCGAGGTTACATTGCTAATTTTTACTTTTCTCTTCCTAGTTATCTTAGATCGAATGACCTTAGAAAGTTAATAGCTAGAAGTGTCAATCACCAATACATCACAGATTGTAAGGTATATCTTTTTATCTGATCTTAACGATGTGATCAAGGTAAACAATGCAAGACAAATATCTCTAATTCCTAGACCTGTGATGAAGTGGTTATTTCATAGTCAGTTGAACTACAACTTGAAGAAGATCCCATAACTGTTTATTTTAGCTGCTTCCCATCTATTCAATATCTTATCATTTACAATGTGAAGTTATTACAAATATACGTGGCATAATAACTTTGGTCATACTCTGTCTAAAAATACGATTCTGTTCAAATTTCGGCCATATATATCCGATGATTGATTTTCCTATTCTGTAAATAGAAGTCGTTAGATAATCATAATTTTGAGGATTTTACTTTTAAATTGCTATAACTGTGATGCTGCAGATCAGAGGACAGCGAATTGTCGATCGGACCAAAGACGCACAAATACGTAAGAACGGCCTAGGGTTCTGATTGGTCCCGCTTCCCTGTCTAGCCTAGCCAGTTGAGTCCAGAACGGAAGTCTCAGCCTCGGAGATATGAATCGTTATATTTCAAACATACTTTGTTTATAAACCAGTCAAGCAGACCACATCGTACCATAAAATAGAAAATAACATTGTACAATATTGACCAGTAGGAAAATGACATGTGAAATAAACATTGACCAATAAGGAAATGACACCATCTCAAGTCCAAGGATAGCATTAGACTTAACAGGATAATTTCTGGGATATTTTTCTGAATATCTCAACACAAATGTAATCATCTCCCTTTTTTTTCGTTTCTGTACACAAATCTCTTTTTGGAAATAAGAAATCAATCTTAAAACTATGACGATTTAAATAATAAGAGGGAATGGAAAAAGAATAATACTAATTGTTATGGTGCATATAACTTTCTTGACATACGAAAAGCCAGATTCTAGTCCCATCAATGTTAATAATATTATTTAAAACAGCATGATTTATAGTGGAGATTAATTGCCCCTCTGTGTTATCTCCACAAAATTGATTTTATTCATTCAAAATTTTCATTCTACCAACCTCGTGTTTTTCCTCTGTAGACTTGTCACTGAACTGGAGAATACTTTAAGGGGTTTGGCAGGTAAATGGAAATCTATGGAGATTAAAAAAGAACAGGTATATACATTAATTATTTTCATGTCAAGTTTTAATTTAGCCTACAGTAGTTTTGTTAAGATGTCTTACCACGGTGTTCGGGCATTATATACAAGAATTGAGAACTGTGGAGTGCTAGATAGCTATTTCTTCTTGATTGAACTGTGTTGTGCTTATGTAAAGATCTAATGTTGGCTTTGTGTAAGTTTGCAATTCTTAAGAGCTTCCATTTGGAAAGAAAAAGACCGTGCAATGCATCTTCGGCGGTTCTTCAACTGGTAGCTATCCATGATGACAGTCAACGTCAACCTTATTTTATTTTGTCAACTCGTATCAAAGGCGATATTTTGTTTACTAACTCAGTTGAAATGTATCCTCATTTTTTAATCTAATAGAAAGTTTTCCTAGTAAATTTACATGCATAAATCTTATGGAAATTACAACTCCTATTGGCAATATTAGTTATGTAACTAGACATGTCTTAAATTTTTAACCCAGTATTCAAGATGTCTAAACCGATCCCAACAATTTACTTGAACAAAATAGTAGTGTTATACAGTTTTCGTAAGATGGAATAATAACTAAAGCAACCAATTTTCAATCTTTGAGTTCTACTTTCAAACTTTGCTCCACCTACTTCGTTTAAAGTAGCCAACTCATGTCACTAGCATTCTCGTACAAAATATGTTATAATCTAAATCTCAGATCATTAATCTGATATTTTTTCACTAAGTTACATTGAATTATTTTGAAATAAAGATCATTGATGTAGCATACTTGGATCTTTAATTGTGGAAAATACACTTCAACTTATAATATTCACTATTTCAATTGAAATCATCCAGATAGAAGAAATATGCACATGAATAGATACTACTGACAAATAAATCTTAAAATTTACAAATACTCATCTGTATTGTAAGTGCAAATTATTGAAAATTGGTTTTAGTAATTTATTTGTCCGGATTAAATACACTTAGATTTTCATTACTCGTATATCCTGAGACCACCGAGTAAGTAATGTAGTTGTTAAGAAACGGGTACTAGGTAAGGATGGCAAATCAATTGATGAAGTAGTGAAACTTCATCAGTTGAGATGGCTGGGACACGTGTTACGTATGCCCAACTACCGACTACCCCGACGTGCGATGTTTTACGGTGTAGGAGTAGGTTGGAAGAAAGCTAGGGGCGGCCAGACCAAAACATGGTATAAATCCATGAAGTCACTGACAAGTGGACTGAGTCATGTTGGTAGGTGTAGACTACCTGGTTGGGATCCGCGAGACGATAGCAACCGATGGTTAGAGATCCTGAATGACATGGCTCAAAATCGTTTGCAATGGCGCAGGTGCATCCACTCTCTGTGTTCTCCCGAATTCTAATCTTCTGAATTCTTCATGTCCCTTCTTTTTTTCTCTTTCCAAATTTATTTCACTGTATTATACTCCTTGAATAACATCTTCAAACCCTAATCTTTCTGATTACTGCTTATAGTTTTACTACTTCTACGACTACGGGATATGAATCGACAACTATATCTTTGTGCTAATGTGGTGTGGCAACTCGAACTGATGCATGTACGTAAGAAGTTCTACGTTGTTACTGACTAACACTTAGATTTTCATGTGACAATGTTTAGTTTAACAATCACAATGAGTGAAACATGACACTAAAAATATTTAAAACAATCTAACTAACAAGATCTAACTGTTCAAATACCGTCTGTCACTATATATATGTAACTTTAAATAACATAATCCGATCCTTTTTACATCATTGGTTTTTTCCTCCACTTTTCTTTTATCATTTCTTTAGATAGTACATCATATTCATGTGAATATAACTTACTTTGCCAGACTTCTTTTTAGTTAGCTTTTCTTTTACCATTTTATTTAACTAAACCTGTCTGTCAATACTTTCTTGCAACCTTTTTTTGACTGCTGTTCGTTTTTGACTTGTCTGAAAGTTTGTATGATATGTAGTATTGCATGATTAGTTTGTGTGATTGTTTATCACATATACATCGACAAATATATGCTTCTGCATCCTACACCTCTTTCAAACAAATATAGGAATGCTATATAATTAACCATCATAAATTTTTCCCTCTCAAATTTAAGCAAAATAGTAGAATTGGAAGAGGAACTACGAGTTGTTGGTAATAACATGAAAGCTCTTGAAATTTCCGAACAAGAGGTAATTTCACAATACGTATATATTTATCTGTATTGATAGTTCGACTATGTAGAAATGAGAATCTTTCTTTGCTCATTCGTTCTTTAAACAAAATTTGACAGTTTAGATAACTAAAGTGTGTAATATTTTTATTTTAGTTTAAACAGTCATATGCATTAACCTGGACAACTGAATGATAAATGTTGTCTAACCTTTGTCTTATGCTGAAAGTTGATATGGTCCATAAATTACTCAGAGTTTGACTTTTGTTGAATTATCTATCACAGCCATCAAGGTCGTTTCATTTCACCTGATCTGTGTGTAGATATGGTTTGTAAATTCATAAAGTAAGCTTCTATGTAATTACTAAGCTACGTAGTAGTCACTACCACTGTTCTAGTATTCAACATTCTTTTGGGAATTTTATACATAAAAACTGCTTGTTGCTAAGTAAAATAATTATAATTGCCACCCCACTGTGATAACGTTTGTTGATTTTCGTTTTAACACTCAATCGGGATAGTTAGATAACTGGTTAAAGCACTCAACTTTTGACCAGCAAGTCATAAGTTCGAACTCAATTCCACTTCCATTCTTTTGGCCAGACAGTCACTCGCGAAGAAGGCGTTTTCAAATCCTACCTACTGATCGTGGAAGTCGAGTGCTATAATCATTAAGTTATACACCTCCATATATTAATTTCATTCTTGATGTATTTTCACTATCATTAAACATGGTCTCAAGTGCCATTTGAAGTATGCAAGCAGTCATAACTTTTCTATTACCCACACCATCTGAGGATACTTTCTCTTGAGGTACCTAAAAAAAGAATTGAACTAGTGGCGGTCTTAGGCACTTTGAAGCGTCACCCCAGGGCTCAAGAGACAATTATTATTCTATTATTTATTTGAACACGTAAATATTGGTACAAAGGGGCACTGAATACGTGTTAGCCACACAAGTCACTTGATTTGTGCCTGTGCTATGACACCGCCTAGGTTCCCAGACCGAAGCAGGGAAGAGACAATCGCTTAAGGCCAGTCACACACGGACTTAGTTTAAGTTGTTCTTGGTGTCTTATCTCTATACTTTAAAGACATTACTGCTGGCAACTGAAATCTAGTGGGTAAGTTGAGGTGCGCTACTTGTATCATAATCTTTATTAATCTGAGCTGATAATTTGTTACCATGTGACTAAAATTAGGCTTTAAATGGAGTCTATACTTCACACTGATCGATAAGCTATTCAACAACATATATAAAATACATTTCTTAATGTTCTTAATGGTATAAACATGTAATAGTTTAAAATGGGTATTCTTTGTTTATAAATCTCTATAACAATCCTAATGCGGCTCATTCACCAAGTACATACTTTTGTACACAGCTTCTACCTGGATGTTCTAATCTATGTAGGTTAACCAATGTTTAAACTACTGACTACTGATTGGAAGTTAAGCTTTTTTAACCAATAAGTCCCTACACCTCAATGATTAGATGGGTTTTAGTGGTGCTTCTGGGAGAGTTATGGATAATAGCCTAGTATTTTCCTTGCGTCAATAAATCTATTTGTTAGTTTGTTTTTTATTTGCTTGAAAATTATATTTCTAGTAGAATCAGCAAAATGACAGTATAGCGTATGCTGTCAAAATTAAGTAAAAAACGAAAGAGGTGGTTACCCTTTTAAAATTCAGCAAATCACTTTATTGAATATTAATTTCGCCTTCATCAGTGATTTCGTTTTAGATTGGTTCAGTAAAGTTTTTAAGTAGGAAGTATGTGACCTGTGGAATGAAACCAGTCACAAGGAAGTGGCTGACTAGTAAAATTTAAATATAATTATCCTGTGTGTCTCAAATGATACTGTGCCTATCATAAAATCCTGTCGTGTAGTGTCAAGGAGGGGAGTAGGTTGTTCGATATTCAATCGACTTATAAGAATTCCTCTGCTCGCTTCTCTTCGTAACCATTACTTATGTACACCTATTACCTCTTGTGGAGCATAGAACGCCAGTTAGGATCCTCTAACCTACTCTGATCTAGGATCTCTTTCCCAATTATTACCAAGTGAAATTTATTTTTATGTCCGCCTACAGTTCCAGGCTTAATGTGTTCTTTGGTCTGTCTTTTTCGCTATTGCCTTCAGGATTTTAAGTTAGGGCTTGATTGATAGTTTCCGTAATGCGTTCAGCAACTTTTCTTAATTTTCTCTTCAGCTGGAAGTTGGTTTGTCTTCTTCCACATTTGGTTGTCGCTGATGGCGTTTAGTCAACTGATTTAGAGTATCTTGCGTAGACAACTGTTTATAAATTCCTGTACTTCCTGGACAATGGCTGTAGTAGTTCTCCAAGTCCTATCTCCATACAATAGGATTGTCTTAGCGTTTGTATTGAAAATTCTGACTAATGTTGCCTGACAGTTGTTTAGTGTTCCAGATGTTCTTCAATCAACGGAATACTGGCCTTGCTCTCCCAATTTGTAACCATAGCTATCTTCAAATTGGATAAATCTTTACAAAACATTTCATTCAACTGCTAATTTAGTTCATACAGATCAGGTTGGTTATTTATCGTCTTCGATATTCACTTGTTCTACTCGACATTCATCTACAAGATATATCCCCATCTCTTTGAAAATTGATCCACTTTGAAAAATTCAAACTCGAACTAGCCGGTTTCGTAATTTCATATCATATCAGTTAGCTTGATGACCATATTGAAAATTCAGTCAACAGAACTCAGTTAGTACTGGTAAACAAATAAAATGATATTGACTGACTACTGTTTTTGTTCTTATCTAATGATGACAGTTTTTACCTGATCAAATGTTTACATTTGTTACTGTTGTCTTGTTTTCTATTCGGAAAAATGACTTACTGTTTTCTGTCATCTAGTCAGCCCAACGTGAAGAAAGCTATGAAGAAACAATCCGAGATTTAACAGAACGATTGAAGGCTGTAAGCCTTGTTTAGTTTGTGTGTGTGTGTGTCTGTTTGGTTATGATGAATTTATTATTTGGCATTTAATCGTTTGTTCGTAGGAATATATATGTGTGCAAATCGGTTTTGCATGTGTTTTCATATTTTTCTACATTGCATTGTTCGCCATCGATTTTTACTACTGAATGATTGTTCCACTTATTCTCACAGAGAATGACCTTAGTACTAACTAACTGACCTTTATTCACTTCCTGTTTATTTACTTAACATTTCTTAAATAAGTACAAACACACATCTTTGCATAGACAAAATCTGTTTGTTTTTTTTACATTCTACCGGACTAGTAGTTTGATCTACTTTTCATACTGGGCTTAGTTCATCCTTAGAATGTAACATTTCTAGTCTGAATATAATTATTATTATAAATGTAGACGTACACTATAAATTCACTTGGTATTGTTTGGCTTGTATCTTCCCATTGAAGTTTAAGACTACAATTGATCAGTTTGTTATTGGCATATGTGCATACTGTGCGTATGCCTCGATATTACACTATAAATCATTACAAATTATTTTTAGAACTCCATTTTGCCATGACAAACTCATTTATCTACATTTTGTTTCTCTTTCGGTCGATACATACATCTATTTTGTCTAAAATTGCATGTACTTGAAATATTCATCGATTATGCATGGCGTATTTTAGTCTGCTGAAATTGAAAAAGATTTGGAAGAACGTTTAAGTGTTTTAACTCATCATGTTAAAGAGGTAAGTTGACTTATTTATAATGGGAAAAACATATGTGTATCATGTATTTTCAGCAATAAATAAATATCGTTGGATTCTGTCAGTCAAATGAAGGAAGTCTGTTGTCTATTTCATAATCTAATAGAAATCTTTATTTTCTAATTATCTTTTTAATTATGAAGATAAAGATTACCCTAGAAACACGGAAGGATTTATGTTACATTGTTGAAGTTCAATTCTTTGTATCTGTCATTATCGCGGATTTGGATAAATATTACAACATAACTATTTAGTCAGTCAGTCAGCTACAACGTAGGACCAGGCATACATATATGCATCGGTTCAAGTTGCCATACCACATTAGCACAGCAAGATGAACACCGGATTCATAGAAGTAGTTAAGTCAGTGGTGGTGATATATAAAAGAAAGATTGTATATAAAGATATAGTACCTTACTATTACTTACCCGGTGATCCCAGCAGATGCGAGCAATATTTCTAAGGCATCTGTGGTCAAATACTAGTAGCTTGCGAATATCTTCAACTCTTGATAGCCATGTTTCGCGGCCGAAAAGTAAAACGGAACGAACTGCCTCGCAGTATACTCGTCCCTTCATTGACAGACGGATATCTCGCCATAGGTGACGTAAATTGGCGAAAGCCAAACGAGCTTTTCGAATCCGTGCTGAGATTTCGCCATAAGCTCTGACTCGACTAGTAGTGTTCGAGTAAAGAGCCTTCACAAGGTTTATGTACGCCTTTCAATGACAGACTGACCGATGAAGGTAAATGTAATCCTATCCAAGATTGGGATTGTGTGAAAACACTGATCACTACTAAGTGAACTGCGTAGATTAAAGAAAGTAAAGTAGAACTCATTTATTAAATACAAATCTCATGTTGATTTCAAAATATTATAGGTTGTAAACAACTGATGAGGACTTAACAAAATAAAATGAACTCATATTATTCTGTATCAATCATTGTTTTTGTTCTCTTCAAGATAATTAAGGGAACTATGTGTGTGAAATTAAACTAATATACTCAAAAGATTGATTCTTTTATTCGTACATATTATCCCAAGCTGTATGTTAACTATAGCTATGACTGACTTGTCCGTTAAACATATCATATAATAACTTAATAGTTAGTCCGGTTATTTTAGGGAAGGGGATTTCAACTATTGAAATTACTAAAATCTCCATAAAACCCCTTCTGAAAAACATAAACATTGATATTAATTCATATTCTTACAACGAATCCATAAGCCTGTGATTTGACTTATATATCACTTTCCAATAATGTTATTGTGTTTACAACGTTAATTGAACTCATGATTTCATGTATTATAACGTTAGATTGCTGTTGACAACAATAACTTCTTTTACGATCAATCAATATTCAGATATGATTAATTCTATTCACAAGAAGACTTGTTTTCTATTTTTGCATGTGTATTTTATTTTGAAGAATCTACATTTGCATGAAATAGAATAATTATACTCAATGGTTACTTGCTCCCCTTTAGCTATCGAATGTCAGTGTTGCATCAATTTCTTACGAAAAGAAATAATCATGAGATAAACTATTGAATTAACTAACTTTTGTTAATCTATATGTATTATAAATAGGCTGAACAAAGAGCAACTGAAGCTGAACGTCAAGTATCTAAACTACAAAATGAGGTTGATCATTTGGAAGGTGGGAATTTTTTTCCTATTTCCATCTTAACTATGATAATAAAACATGCCTGTACTTATGTATAGATTATAGGATTGTGCATTGAAACATTGGTTAAAAGTATCTTGATCATAGATATTTATTTGAATGCTCTGGCATGTGTTTTTCTAAACTCCTATCCTTTGTTTTTTGTTTGACCTCCATTTATCATTCTATTTGTCTATGCTTCTTCGTATTACTCGTTTCTCTCATTACCATGAAATAATAATATTCAGGCTGAATTTCGAGCTGATACTGCTGAAGCGGAAGTTAATCGACGTCTTATGGAAATAAAGAAAGCAAAAGGTGATTAATATGATATTTCTGATATTTTGATTTAATAAATAATATGGATTGACTTTTTTGAAATATATTTATTACGGTGTTAGCTGTTTTTATCTGGATACTTTAAACTTCATTCCAGATGTATGTTTCTTTCTCACTGACTGGTCATGTGGTTCATTTGTCAGTGTTTGCCATCATAGTTGACAGTAGTAATTCCACGACACAACGAACATCTGTGTAAAGTGGTGATTAAAACTAGTCGTCAGGACACTGTTATGTCATCAAGGTGTACCTTTAATCTTGAGGGAACTGATACTCCCTGACGAACTCGATTCTGCGTCACCCAGCTTCACAGTCAGGGATGTTACCACTGAGATACTCGAGTTGCAACTGACCTTCTGTAAGAATGGTATATATTTACAATTGATTGATCACTGAGTAGTAACCAATTTCACGTTTGTCAGGTCCTTCCTAGTGCAGATCAAATTCTATCGACCAAGTTGAAATGTGGCCACTAGTCTAGATGACTTGACATGGAATACCTTCAACCACCACCTTACATTTCAACATAGTCTATGCAATGTCGAGTCACCCAGTCTAGTGGTCATATTGCAACTTTATCGATCAAATTCTGTTCCATTAAAATTTCTCTAATTAGGTGAACGTAACAATATTTAACCCTTAATCAGCATTCACTTGATCCCAGTTACTACTAATTCAAATAACACAGTAAGCTAGATTTGATAACAAGCAATGCCAAATACTAAAGTCAGTAAAGAAGTGGATTTCAGAGAATATATATCTAATATTAGGTAAAAATTAAAAAAAATTATACATTCCGATAGCACAATATTCAAAAACCGATTTTCACTATTCATTAGATTTCACCTGGCAGAAATATTCACTCATTGTCACTGGTTAATTATAGTCAGTGAACAAACACTGAAAAGGTACAAATATAATGAACTGTTTAATACACATATACATTATAATTTGTCACTTGACCTTAACAGAATAGTTACATTATGATGTTATTCAATTACTTGAATAATTTTTTCTGGTTAGCGTTTTTTTTAGCGAGTTAGTTTTCTACCGGATGGGGTCGCTAACCCTATGCCCAACCCTCCTCCTTTATCCGGGCTTAAGACCGGCAGTAGCCCCCGGAGGGACTCCAGGCGGAGTTGATGTTATTCAATGCTTTTATATTATGTCAAATTTTTGGAATTCACTTCAGTTAAACTAAGAAATTTATTCACCTCTATTGTGAATGAGTTGAATTTAATCATATGGATAAATTTAAACAATTGTTAGTATAGGGGTTGTGGAGCTAATCCTTGTCGGGTAGAGACAGGTATCTACCTCAGTACAACGGAAGTTGGTCGCGCAATTTCGTGGATTGGTTGATGTTAGAAACTCACCAGTGGATGCCGGCTCAGTGGTCCAGTTGGTTAAGCGTTCGCGCGCGAGACCGAAGGCCCTGGGTTCGAATCCCGCTCGCGGGATCGTGGATGCGCACTGCTGAGGAGTCTCACAATAGGACGAAATGGCCGTCCAGTGCTTCCAGGTTTCCAATTGTGATGGTCTAACATCAATCGGTTCATGATCTTAAACAATTGTGTCAAACTTATTTTGAGAACAATTTCATAGCTGTTATATATCTAAAGCAATTAGTCCCTTTGATAAATTTCAATAGTGTGATAACAAGACGAAGATTATTTGTCAAAGTAGTTGTTATGACTGTCTTAAGCTATGCATTTCAAAATCATAACGCAAAAATAAATTACACTGTACTCCTTAGTAAGGTTAGAGTCGACTCATAATAATGTATCCGTTGTTTAGATAGATTTTGATGTCTTGAAAAATCAGATGTTGTGGATGCAAGTTTTTGAAACGTTTGAGTCTTACTGTACCTACATAGTTTAGAAATTTCCTTTTAAAACGAATTGTTGTTGAATTCTTTGAGTGTACTGTGTATTCTACCAGTTATTTACCATCATGTTATCTTTATGTAGATTCACTTTCCCATTGGATTATTGTGTTAGATTGACCTGATTATCTACATTTAATAGATTATTCTAAGTCATTTACGATGAAGTTACAGTGTAAGCTGATAACGCCATACCGTACAATTGAACTACAAATTGAGGTACCTATACAGTTTCTGTTAAACACACCGTATTTTCGTATAAATATATATCTTACATTAAAAAGATTTTCAATAATTAATCTCAATAAATTTATCTTCTTATTTAGAACGTATAATTACGGAACGTACTATGTATGAAACATTACGCAAAGAAATGGATACAATGATCAATGAATTTCATTCGATCTAATTTATTCAGCTTACTTTCTGTTTACATTAACATTTCACAACCTGAATACAAAATTGCATGTATTGTATGCCCATGATTGTATTGTTCAGCTTGTTTATTCATTTTATTTATCAAGCTACTTTTGTCATGAATAATATAATTGAACTAAATCAAATATGAATCATTTAATACGCATGTAGTTTGTCCATTGTTACTTTATTATTATTATTTTTTGTTCAATTCTTGGTTTGGGCTTCTTTTTTTTTTCCTTCCACAGTTTATACTCTTGTGAATGCTCAATTTGTCCTAGTTTTTGTGTGCATTTTGCTTATTTATATTTTACTTTTAAAGCATCATGTTGTTTATTTGTTTGTTTAATGTTTAATAAATTTAAGTGTTTTAATTTTGTGTTCTGTTGAAATATGAATATGATCATGAACTTCGCCCCGCCTATATCACTTTCAATAGCCGAATTGTATCACCAGCTCCCATAAATAATGTGACTCAAAATCAATTACATAATGTTGAGCTTGGTATACAAGTCACATGGAGACATTTACCAGATGAAATGAGTATTTTCTACTTTCGTGCAAATACTTTCAGGTACAATTAAGAGGGTACCCTTGTATACATTACAGATCGGCTGTGGAGGATACCTCTATTTTTGAATTCCTTATGGAATAAGGATTACCCTTCCAATTTGACAATCCGATAAGGTTTAAGCTGGTTTCATATGAATAGTTTAGGAATACCAGCACAAAAATTAATCTATCATCTTTTTCTATGCTAAAACTTTTTCCCAATCTAGATGACTTATTGGCTGAGAAAGAACGATACAAAGCTCTTAGCGGTGAACTGGATCAAACTTTCGCAGAACTCACTGGTTATTAATAACATGCAGTCAGGATATTCATTACTATTATCTTCATTTTCAGAAAACGAGACTGGTCGTAAAGATATTATTAACGTGTTCAAAAAATTAAAACTATATCTTCAAATCTGTGCTCTAGAGAGTACTATTATGTTATATTCAATTTGCAATACTTCACTTCTGCAAAATATGCTTTTATTATTCGTTACTACCTGCACCAACTTCTTTACTGTCATCTTTCCCCCCCCCACTCACCCTCTTTCAATCTAAACAATACGATTTTAGGCGTTTATATATAGTAGCCTATCTAATCACTGCACTAAACTAACGAAATCAATAAAATCGTTTTCCCACATGAGAGTTTTTCTTTTTATCGACAATTCTAAGATAAATATTAGCTATTCAAATTCATAAATATGTAGACAAGAAACTTGATTTGATATTTCTGAAACCATAAATAAATATGGGATTCGAAGTTTTACATAATACTGGTTGTGATTTTTATGATAACAGCCGAATTTTATCACAAATGTGGACAATTGTTGTGCTATCTCCTGATGTACGTAAGTGTTGCTAGCATAACCACTGATACTATCTACACTGGAAGTGTATCGACTCTTGTTAGGTCTAAGATTATTACTCCGTATTGGCCGTGAACAAACACGTTTTCTCCGGATTTCAGTCTTTATAGTTAGATCTTCATTCAGTAATTTATTTTCGTTAATGGATTTGACCTGTTGACGCTGATGAAATTGTTTAGCTGTATCAAGATCCGCTAGTTCAACTTTCGTAATCTAAATGTATCTAGGAAATACTACACAAAGTAAGGACTGGTTTGATAGAACCTAGAATTATGGGAATTATTCACCTAGAATTTAGGTCATAGACTTTAATCTTTAATGGCTAGAGACGATACTTAACTTCCCGGTTCTGTATGACATTTATTGCCGGATTTCCGCCTAACTTTGTTCCTCAAGGAAATTCAGGTAACCAGTCCGGTGTTATTTCGTTTGTAACCAGTGCTAAGAGTCTTTCAGGTTCTCGTAATTTGCTCAACTAGACTGATGTGCAGAATGATTGTCAGTTTTCGGTTTTCCTGGTACACGCGTTAGTGACATGTACATCAACTGAAGGAGGTTATCAGTTTGATCGATTGGTAAGATTAAACTCTCTCCATAGAAGTTAGATGTATGATGGCAGGTGTGCTGTGTCTCAATGGTGTTAGTAACTCCAACCTTTTTATGATTGGTGGTTTATATGATAAACGTGATGCTTTTATCTGCATCTAAAAGACCGCCACATGAGTAGGAATTATCAGTGGCATGGAACAGAGTACGAAGGATGGGAGAATTATTTTCCGTTAATGGATAAAGGCAATTTTAAGTGAGAGTTTGTTTAATTGCTTCAGAAGTTGGTAAAACTTATAGTGAGTGTACTTTGGTAATATCCTCGTAAGATTTTATGAGCCTAAAAATTTCAAAGTTACACGTACATTGCTGTGTAACAACATTACTGACAAATTGATTGATGCTATTCTAGCCGATCTGCTGGACATCACACAACCTACAGACTCTACGCTTGTTCATCAGACTGCATTTTTGCCATCCCTGAATGAAAAGTGAGCATTATTTAATCAACTACTACTTACGAAGTAGCATATGTCACAAAATGAGACTCGACGGTTCAACGGGCGATTCATTTCCTTCAAAATAAATGGCCATTTTCTTTAGATGAAGAATTAAAACATCTATGTAGTGTGGCGTCGAGTCACTTTTGACTATGATCACCACTACAAGAAGATTGCGTACCAGAACAGGCTAAACCTCCGAGTAAACCGGAAATCCGAAGACGATTGAGGGTTGTAGCGAGATATATTTGTTGGCGATCTCGTGGTATCGAAAGAATACCGAGATTGTGCAAAGGAGTACAAGCGGAACTACTGAGCAAACGTTAGTTCGCGCAAGGTCACAATCAACGAAAGGAAGAATGTCTCTAGTAAAGTTGAACAAACAAGTACTGTAAAACAATCACTGGTACAATTGGTTATAATAATTGTTTCCATTAAACCAATCGCGTTCTCTTGATAAAAGTAGGTCACTACACCTATTTCAATGGAAGCAATCTATGTGTTCAGTCGGAGAATGCCTTATATCTGGGGAACGTGTGGTGATACCACGAAAATTACAGAAGAAAGTACTTAAACGATTTCATATTAAACACATAGTTAAGCATACTAACCAAAAATGGACGCGAATGGAGTTTGAATAAGTATGTTTCGCACAATCGTTGATCGGAACAGATAATCACGGAAACGCAGCCAAGGAATTGAAGGAGAGAGAGCGAAATGAAACGAATCGGACAAGTTATGTGAGAAAGGTCGGATTTATCAAGCCTTACTCAATATTTATAATCAGTGCGAAAATAAATTACAGACACGTAACGAATAGGATAAGCAATCAACACACATACGATCATATAAAAGTAGTCAGGGTTTATAATTCAGTAAGTGACAAGGTGCAAATGTGGTTTGGGAATAATGAATAGATCGGTCTGACCAGAAACTAGAACACCCTATTTGTGCAGCAGTGTATTTGTGAGGGATAATCAATAGATCATGTTATGTGTGTTGACAAACCGGAACGGAAAGTCAAATGTCATGCTTTTAAAACGACAGTTTTACAAGTAATAATGATAATTGTGCAGATTGTGGGTATTAATGACAAATGGAAATAGTAACAAAACTAAATACGTAAAAAATCTGGTTTTACGATCCCTACAGCAACGTAGAAGACCCAAGGATGACCACCATAAGAAAACAGAACAGCCTAGATACCATCCTAGACGTTTCAATAATTCCAGAAATGATACAACTCGGAACAGAAGCAGTATCACATGAATCTGCATAAAAGTTATTACCACAAAGAAGTAAACGACGGCAAACGAAGACCATGAAATTCAGAAACAGTGAAAGAACTTCAAAAATAACGAGGTGATAAGGTAGTCGCAAGAATAGTCTCCTCAGGAACGATAACCGCTCGCACACTTTCTACCAATTCGATTTTCTGCATGATCTTTTCCCTCTGATTAGTTGTCATGCTTTTTTAGTCCGCTAAATTGACATATACCCACGGGTCATACTCTGCAACTATCATAACAACTTTTTTACCAATTTCCTTTGAGTTGCTTGTTCTACAACAAACATCAAGTTACCTGCAATTCCGTCTCCTGTCTGTCTTAGCCGTTGAGGCTTGACGTGTTGAATATAATTTACTGTAGTCAGTTCCGAAGAAAACTGAATGTGTTAGAGTAGTTAATTCGTTTTCGTACCTAGTCCGCAACATCGTGAGCCGTAATGAATCCCCCAAAAGGACAAAATAGTTGTATTTCTGACTGTCACAATACGACGAGTCAGTGAAGACTATGATATGAATTCCACGTAAGATCTTATAGATTAGGTAGTCATATATTGACATATCTACAATCTTAGGATTAGGCCCATCGCTAAAGTAGAAAGGATAGATGTACTCACATTGAGTCAGACCATAATTCTACAGATCTTTGCAGCTGTTAGCACACCGGCAATCATCGAAACGAAAAAAATAGTCAAACACTCCAAGAAAGAAGGGCGAGCAGGACCAGAAAACATACCGCTGAAGCACTGAATTCAGACACAAAGGTGACCACAAAGATGCTCAACGTTCTATTTTAGAAGTATTTAATAACAAGATCAAGTACCGAAAGACCAGAAAGAAGGATATACCATCAAGATGCCGAAAAAATATTATATAAACATCACACTACTGTCGGTGAAAAGAAAAATTTTCAGCAGTGCTGCTGAAGCAGTTGAAATACGCAGTAGACACCCAACTTCCAGATCAACAGGCTGTATTCCGAAAGGACTGGTCGTGTACAGACCAAATGGCGATACCACAAATCATCGCTGAACAATCAATGGGATGGAACTCGCCGCTAAATCTCAACTCCATTGAACATGAGAAGGCGTTCGACAGTATGGATAGAAGAAACTCATGAAAACTTCTTCGACACTATAGAGTGAGTAGCTGAGGTCATCAACATCATCCGGAGTCTTTACGACGAACCACAATGCACATTTGTGTATCGAGGTCCGCTGACAGATTTAATCCAAGTGAATACCGCTGTTAGACAACTTTGCTAACTCCGTCTCTCTCTTTTCTCTTATGGTGGTCGACAGGATTATGAAGACATATATCTGAGGGGAAGCACGGAATACAACGGACGGATTGTATACAAATTGACGATCTGGTCTTCGCAGATGACCTGGTCATTCTATCCCATACACACTAACAAGTGTAGCAGCAATAGGCCCTTAGCATATATATAAGGGCAAAACAGGAACCCTCAAACACAGCACAGAGTACACCAATCCAATCACACTTGATGGAGAAACTCTGGGAGAGGTGGAAACTTCCAGGTATCTGCCTTGACAGCATCATCGACGAACAAGGTGGATCCGATGCAGATATAAAGGCAAGGATTGCCGAAACAAAA